TACTCTCCAATTGATCTATCCATTCTTCAACCACCGCCGGCTTAAGATTTCCATCGAAAGTAGGAGGATTAAACTTACGAAAAGTACTCCAGATCTTTGTGATCGTCGATGTCTGTTGCTCAGAGTGGAGACTCACATTCTTCGGACTAGTCTCATGGTGAGAATAAGGAGGTAAGCCTTCATCAGCAGATTGGCTCGCATTGAATACCTTGGTATGGCTTCCTTCTTGTTGGCCATTTCCCTCTCGGTTGTCATTCTCCTTATATTGTCTTAAAGCGGCCAATTCTTCTTCTTGTCTCTTCATGCGGTCACTAAGATTATATAGTAGATCCATCATTTGCCTCATGGTTGGCTCATCCTGCCTTAGTTGTGACTGTATGGGCTCGCCCTGCCCAATTTGTTGCTGTGTGGGCTCCGGTTGTGGCAGTGAAGGTATGTCATTTCCTATTGGCTCTATAGAATCACCGACAATTTCGCCACCTCTCCTAGTTTTGGACACCATCTCTCCCCTCCTAAAGGATGGAAGTCACATAATTAAATTAACACTAATCTCAAGACAAGAAAAATAATGGAGAAGTATTATGATTTACTAATGTATATTGCCAATAAACTAGGTTAATGTATAACAATTTCATAGTTTATAAGAATTTGAAACATGTAGCTCTGATACCAAAATTTGTAACACACCAAAAATTTTTTTTTAAATAATTTAACTCAACCATAGTTGGGTTACAGCCACCCAACACATTTTTATATCAATAATTTCAATATAAAATATTTTATAATTGGCTTCAACTCACACACTATAACATTTCAGGTAAATTTTTACCTCCCACATGCCATTAGGCTAAATCACATTTGTCCATCCTTATACTCCCAACAAGTAAACTAAATCACATTTGTCCATCCTTATACTCCCAACAAGTAAAATAAGCAATTTAGTCAATTTTCAACACAAGCCAGTTATTTGGCCTTATAATCATGTCATTTTAACCAATCCAAAGTAAACCAAATATTAAAATTACAGTCATCCAAATTGTACCAAAAATAGAAATAGTTTGAAAGGCATGATTACATTTATATATTCATATAATTGACAATAAACAAAAAGCCCTAGTATTGGCAATATAACACATTATAAATCATAAATTAAATACCCAAAAGAGACAGTGGATCTATACCACTAAGCCTCTGGGACTCCTCCACGTGTCACTCGTGGCTCTTCTCCTGAAAATTGTTAACCACATGATGAGACTCAAAAGTCCCAGTAACCAAAGCCAATTTATGATAGTGTATACAAACAGTTAAGTGTGTACTTATTAAGTAAAAATTAAAAATAATATAATTCCAACAAATATAAGAAATATTACAATACACACAAATAACCATCCTTATATCCCTCCATTAACCTCGAGCCGTAGCCCTCACTCGGTGCTAAATTACCCGGCCAAAGGTAGATTAGCCCGAGCCCTTACAAACCACCTATTGAGCTCCAATAGGGGCATACCACGTGGCACATAAATACAACAACAATAGCAAGTCTCCCAACACCTCCCACAATAATTAAACAAATTCATAATAATATTGCACAATTATACAATATTACAAAATTCATAATTTTCTCAATAATCACCCAATTAACAAGAAGTAACACTAATCACAAATTAAAAGCATGGTTACCTTGTGGCTTTTTCAATAAATTATTCCTTAAAATTTCTCTCTCACCACAATCTTCACCAGTAATACAATCTACAAATAACATATTATTTATAAATATTAGTTTCAATTTTTGAAACTAATAAAATAATTCTAATAATAGAATTAAAAATATAACATAATTCTTAATCTCAATCTTAATACAAATCTATAGTTAATACTATTAAGTATAATTTTTAACTCCTCTTTTAATTATCAATAAACATTGATAATCTAAAAATCAAATTTTAAACTAATTTCTATTATCAAAATTTTCTTTTTATTTTATAAATTCGTACCTAAAATACCCAAAAATTAAAAATTAAGTCTCTAGCTTAGAATCATAATCCTATAACCATAATAATTCATTTCTCATCCCAAATAATCATCTAAACCTCAATAAATCAACATATATTTTCAGATCTAGTTTAGAATTTGATCCATAAGCCATAAATTCAAAGATCATTAACAAATTTATACTCTATAACATTTATTATACTACTGACAACCTCAAAAATCATATTTATTCAACATAAATTCATCCCTCTTTCAGATCTTAAATTTTCTACCACTACAAACTCAGAAACTAAAGAAGAAGGATGACTAAGAAAAATTTTTAGAACACTTACTTAGTCTTAAAAAGCTTAAAATCACACCCTAAATATCCTATTAAAAACTCTTACCTTAAAAATTTAGATATTTCGCACCGGTGACTCGCGTTCTCTCCGCCTCAGCTCGCGCGCAGGAATGAATGAGGAAATGAAGGAACAGGTGAGTTTTTATAAAAATTCAGTGGGTCCCACATTTTTTTTAATTATTTTCTCTCTCTTCTTCTTCTTTTCTTTTTATTATTATTTTATTATTGTTACTGTTGAGGCGGCGGACGAAGCAAATTCGTTTTCTTCTTCTTCTTCCTTTCTTTTCCTTTCTTTCTTTTTATTATTATAATAATAATAATTTAATAATATTTTATTTTTTTATTTATTATTATTATTTTTTATTATTTTTTTATTTTATTTTTATTTTATTTTTTTTTGCATACCTTTTTTTTATAATAATAATTTAATAATACTTTTCAAAATTTTTATTAACCCAAATTAACTATTAAAATTTAAATTGGGATGTTACAATAATAATTCATTTTTCATCCTAAATAATCGTCTAAACCTTAATAAATCAATATATATTTTCAGATCTAGTTTAGAATTTGATCCATAAGTTACAAATTCAAAGATCATCAACAAATTTATACTCTAGAACATTTATTATACTACTAACAACTTCATAAATCATATTTATTCAATATAAATTCATCCCTCTTTCAAATCTTAAATTTTCTACCACCACAAAATCAAAAACCAAAGAGGAAGGATGACTAAGAAAATTTTTTAGAACACTTACTTAGTCTTGAAAAGCTTAAAATCACACCCTAAATATCCTATTAAAAACTCTTACCTTAAACTCTAGCACCGACGAACTTGGCTCACAGATGCTCTCTTTGCCTCAGCTCACGCACGAAGGAAAGAATGAAGAAATGAAGAAAACAAGTGAGTTTTTATAAAAATTCAGTAGGTCTCACATTTTTTTTATTATTTCTTCTTTCCTCTCTCTTCTTTCTTTTTTTATTATTATTATATAAACATAATCATTGCACCGGGAGAGCACCGAAAGTTCACTTCTTCTTCCCCCCTTTTTTTAATTCATACCTTTCTCTTTTTTTATAATAATAATAATAATTTAATAATATATTTTTTTAATTAATTAGTTAATTTAATTTTTTTTAAAAAAATTTTAATTTAGAATTATATCCTAAGTTAAATTTAATAATCATTTTCTACTAATTTGCTTACCTCTAAATATTTTTTAAAATTTTTATTAATCTAAATTAACTATTAAAATTTAAATTGGGATGTTACAAATGTTAGATTGGTTCAATTGGTTGAACCAAATCGTTTTGTTCAACGAGTGGCAATCAAACTGATCAAACCGTCTCATTCGGTCCGATTTCAACAACACTGTGAATTAGATATTTATGACGGGGATATAAATATCTAGAGATTAGGGATGGAAGATGATAAAAGGGCTTATTGGTGTAGGAGAAAAGAACAATTTTTGAAATGGGAAGGCGCTTGAATTTCAATTTTAGGTTTTGGCAATTTTAAAATTTATGATAATTAAATTAAATTCATTTTTCATATATTGTATAATTAAACTATATTTTATCCCCTCTAATGTATGGGAAAATAAAAAAATTAAATAAATATTAATTTGATGATTTTTATGAAAAAAAATAACATTAAACTATAAAATTAAATTTTATAAACAATTATAACTTATTTATATAAAATATAAACAATTTATCTTAGTAATAATTTTATAAAATATATAATTGTGTATAAAAGGAGCAAAATAAAGTTCTATAAATAACTACAAATAAAGAACAAAAACATTTTAGATAAAAGTATAGCCACAACATTAACCATGAAAATTTAAAATATTTTTTAGAGTAAGATACAATGACATCATGGGTCTATAAACACTTTTACAAGCATTTTTTAATAACTCAGTTGCAGCGTAAACTCACGTGATACTTTTAATTACTTCTTTAGCTTATTATATTACTAACAGCATAAATCATATATTACCTGTTTAAAAATTAAAATTAGCCAATAATTGATATTAAAAATTAAAATATGAATGAGAAAATGAGATGTTGAATTATTTTGGCAACGATATATGAGAAATTTATTTGTATGAACTTTTGGACTTATTTTCGTGAGACAATTGACTTCTCTCAGTTTGCCTCTCCACTAAGGCATAGATTTAATAAACGATTCTAATATAATATTTTTAATTTTTATCTCCACCAATGCATAAACTTAATAAATGATTTAAATTTAATATTTTTAATTTTTATCTCCACCAAAGCATAAATTTAATAAATGATTCAAATTTAATATTATTAATTTTTATTTTTAAAATAAAAATTATAAAAAAATTAATAAATATATTTATCAATATGACAATTTATATTTAGTATGGATGGTCCAAATTTAATATAAAAAATTTAAATTAACTTTTTAAATATATTTTACACAGTGTAAATTATTTTAAATAGAGTAATAAATTTATTAAAAAAAATTTAATATTATATTTAAACCATTCATATTAAATTTGAATATTTATTAATTTTTTATAATTTTTATATATTTTTTATTTTGAAAATAACAATAAAAAATTAAAACTTAAAAAAAATTAAATTTGCTCCCCCGTTTGGTGAGATAGATGATGCACGAGAAATTCTGAGGCAAATCATCCGTGTTCAGTTTCAGTCCAATGTTTATGCTTCCTCCTACTTCACAATCATTCGGGCCGGGCCCTTCGGCTTTTATCCTTCGCAAGAATCCTCCGACTTCCTCGCCGTTATTTCTCCGCAAACTTGCTTAGCCCTTCCCTATTCCGCTGTTTCAAGTTGGTACGCAGGATTGAAGCTTTCCTTTCCTTAGACCTCGTTCTTAGGTATTGTTGGCAATGTTTCACATTGAAGGCTGACACAAAAACCTGGAAGATTCGAGCGGATCTTCGCAGTTCCTTTAGTTTCTCCAACTGCGCATTGTTTGATTTGTGATGGGTTGGAGATACAAGGCTGGATTATTTCTTATAGCGGGTGTTGTCATTATATGGGTCACCTCAGCCGAAGTCACGCAGGTAAGCTTTTGTGCATTGTTTGCGTTTAAATTCACCGTTTTGTCCTGTTGCCCAGATAAATCAAATTCACCGTTTTGGGTGAATCCATTTCTAGTTGCCAATGCATATGTTCTGTTCGTCCCCCCACCCCCGGATTACTTGTTCTGTTTTTCTTCTTTCTGTACCTTGCTAACCTCGGGCTTCCATTATACAATCGAAAACAACAATTAAATTTTCTGGAGCTCATGCCCTCGTATAGGAATCTCTTGATGGAAAAATCAAGTAGAATGCTATTGTGTGTCATGAGTCCCGAGTCCCACATGTCGGGAGACTCACAAGTATTGTGGAGTTTATAAGTACGAGGGCTCTTCCACCCAACAAGCTAGTCTTTTGGAGGACTTGGCTCTCTCTTTGGACTTGTGTTCATCACATTAGTGAATTTTTGTGCTCTCCTTTTCGCGAGAGCTGATGAGCACAAATCAAAAGGAGAGTCCATCCCAAAAGACTAGCCTGTTGGGTGGGAGAGCGCCTTATACTTATAAACCCTACCACAATACTTGTGAGGCTCCACGATGCGGAACTCAAGACAATGTCACCTGTCAAGAGCCGACGTCTCCGACGACTTCACTCTATGGCACTTCACTTGGCCTTTTGCTGGTCAGAACCCTTTGTGGATAGCCCTTTCCATGACACTGGACTCTCAATGAAAGTACCAATGTGACGAGCACAAGCCCAAAGAGAGAGTTCATCCCAAAAGACTAGCCTGTTGGGTGGGAGAACCCTCATACTTATAAACCCCACAACACTTGTGAGGCTTCCCGACATGGGACTTGTGACATTGTGCCTCAAAGAGGTGTATGCAAGTTCGTGTTTAGCTTAGCGAAATTTTATTGTTAAGTCATTGGGATCTCTTGGAAAAATGGTAATTTCACTTCAGATTCATGCTATTCGCCCCACGAATCCTTATCCAGCATGGCAAGAAACTGTTTTGTTAAAGCATCTTTACATTTTGCAGTTCTTGAGGGCTATCATTTGTGATGCATTATCATGTGGTAACTAGTATGCCAGCATCAAAGCTTTCTATCTATGAATGGTTTCCTGAATAATACTTTTTTTAACAGGATATTTTCACGGATTATAAGCAGCCATTTGCAGTGACATACCTTGGAGCTTCACTTATGGTAGTTTTCCTCCCAGTAGCATTCATTAAGGACTGGTTGTGTAACTTACTTAGCCACTCTTGTAAAAGTGGTATAAATGCAGAAACCGTGGATAAGTCTTCTTCCAGAAGTAGCTCTCCTCTCAAGGAAAGTGGAATGCAGAAAGACTGTGAACTGGAACTGAGCAGTGTGAATCAAAAAGATAGTGATTTAGACCTCTCAAATCTTGCGGAAGGAGAGCCATTGGTGGCTAAAAATGGTGATGCTAACGTGCTAAATTTAGAGAAAGAACTTACGACTAGGGAGGTTGCTTTGTATGGGTTTTCCATTGCACCTCTCTGGTTTATTACTGAGGTAAGTAATTTCAAAATGATATCTACATTTTGCAATTAGGAAGGACCAAAGCATGCAGTGCAACAGATGCTTGACCCCTTTGTTGCACTTTAATTTTATGTGTCTTTGAAGTTCTTTCTGCAATGGTTAGATCACTGCATAGTCAAAATTTGCTCGCTGTTAAGGTAGTCAATTGTCTTATTTAATTGATTATACTGGTGCAATGACCAATGTCATGTTTCCTTGCCTCTTCTCTGAAGATTTTCATCAAGTTCTCTGGCTTCACACACGCTCAATTTTGACTTTTACTCTGTTCTATGAGAACATTTAGGAAGGGTAGCATTGGAATTCCATTCATTTGATTTTTGTTGCTTTCAGTATCTATCAAATGCTGCCCTTGCACGCACTAGCGTGGCTAGTACAACAGTATTATCATCTACTTCTGGACTTTTTACTCTTTTCATTGGTGTAAGTATGGGCCAAGATTCTTTAAATGTGGCAAAAGTGGTTTCCGTCTTTGTCAGCATGGCTGGTGTTGCCATGACAACGATGGGGAAAACCTGGGCTACAGATGAGTCACAATCGAGTGCTGAGTAAGCCTAACCTTTATCTTTTGTTCACCACATTTCATATATTTGATTTTCTTGTTTTAACCGATTTCTTAAAGATCGATCAAAAGTAATGTGTGCTGTTGTAGGATGTAATCCTCTTTCTTTCTCTATGCTTTAAGTTGGCTAACAAAAATACTGAAATAGCAAGGTTCTGTTTGAAATATCCCTAATTTCTTATGTAGTCTTTCATTCTCAAAGTACAACTACAAACCTCTTCTTTTAGTGGCTAATCTCCTAATTGTTTACAAATTATGTGCATTTTTATATGTATATTGGTTGATAAAGTAAAATTCTTACATCAACGGTGATGATCAGTTAGAGTACTTGCTAAGATCTCCTCTGCCATGCTAGTACCTCTTTTGGCTGCTTATTTTTTTGGAGGGAAAGTTCTCAGACATCTCTGCAGGGCATTAGTGACAGATCAATTTTTTTAAACAGCTTCTTATCTTCCTTCCTGAAATTTCACTTGCAGCTCTGGATTTTTCTTTGTTGTTCTGAGAAATACATGTCTTCCTTCCTTTGTTTTTTTTTTTTTCAAAACAGCCTATTCCTTCTTTCATATTCCACATGCAGCTCTTGTTTTTCCTCTCATTTTTTTGGAAATTATCTGCCTGCATGTGTTTATTTTTGTTAATGTCTCTTATAATCTGACAGAGACAGAAAGGATTTGCACACAATAATGGTGCAGTGTTAATAGGAATTTTGGATGTTATGATATCATGTGGACTATTCCTTCTACCAAGTCTGCTAAATGAAAGTGCCATTACCAGCTTGCTATTTATTTATTTATTTATTTATTTTTGGGCGCTAACAGTTTGGTATTTGTGTTCAGTAATGGAAAACGCTCTCTTGTTGGGGATCTTTTTGGCCTTCTGTCGGCCATGACTTATGGTCTCTTTACAGGTGAGGCAACATCTCAGCTGTTAGCTTTTTGCTCTATTTCGTAGTTTTGATTACTTGCAACCACTCCTTTTTTACCTTTAATGTGCAGTTCTTCTTAAAAAAATTTCCGGTGAAGAAGGAGAAAGGGTAGACGTGCAAAAGCTGTTTGGATATATTGGTTTGTTTACACTAGTAGCGCTATGGTGGCTTGGTCAGTATTTGCCTAAGCAATGCTTCTAAATTTACTCATCAATACGAACTTATAAGGTTCTCTGACCATGCAATAGTTTTCATGCATAATCACGCAGTTCCCACTTTCTATTTCCCCTCATTTTGGGTTTTGTGGTGGCTGTTATAATTTCTCTGTCATGATAAAAAAAATATAGTCAACTGTAATCATGGCTAATTCTATCTTGTTTCTTTCAGTTTGGCCCTTGATGGCCATAGGAATTGAACCCGAGTTTAAGATTCCACACTCTGCTATGATGGATGAAGTGGTTCTTGCCAATGGATTTATTGGTAGCGTCCTGTCAGATTACATGTGGTACATAAAATCAATCTCGCTAATTTACCCATTTATGATCCACTCAAAAATCTTATATTAGAGGTTTTCTCCTCTACTCAGGGCAGTCTCTGTTGTATGGACAACTCCCCTTGTGGCCACTTTGGGCATGTCACTTACTATTCCTCTTGCTATGTTGGCAGACATGGTGATCCATGGTAGGCATTATTCGGCAATATACATTCTTGGCTCGGGTCAGGTATAAATATTGCTAAATCTACGAAGATATATTCATCTTGATGTTATCTATTACCAATCAGACTATCCAGGACTTTAGCCTGCATGGTTCCAGTGGGAGGATCCTTGCTTCCGTTGGGACTACAGCAACTTGTATATATAGTGCTCTAGGGAATTTTGTCTAGACAGTTTGCGGGTTATCGACTTGTATAGAAGTCACAGTTGGCAAATCATTTTTTATCCTCTTTTTTTTTTTTTTTTACATCAAGAGGGTTCGAACCCCACCCTCATCTTTTCGGGGACGTCCGATAAAATCATTCAACCTCTTTATTCACATATTAATGGGAGAATTCTCTTGCCACTGATATGCAGGTGTTTGCAGGCTTTGTCATAGCTAATATGGCAGACTGGTGCACGAGCAAGTTGGGAGTATAACATCTAGTGATGGTGCTTAATATGGCCAAAATGGATCCTTCCTTGAGGTGGTTCTCCTTCCATTATTTATATTGGGGTGCTATTCCTTGATCTGCATGTTGAAAACCAACGCCGTGTGCCTCTTTTTTGGGGCATTTCCACGGGATGAACTGATTCTAGAGTGAAGAGTGTGACTAGTGAGGTACTTTCATGTACATGATTCTTGGGCGAGGTCTTTTTCTGTAATCACGATCAGGTTGAACTTTTAGCCGGTGAATGTATATAGTAATTTTTTAGTCTAGTGGAATAGATTCGTCAATGTTTAGTTGTCTCTTCCACCAAAAGAGGTCTCGGCCAATCAACCAGCCAGACCAACTGCTACAATGTGAATCAAATTTTGCTTTCCCCCCTTAAATCTTTCAATTTCATCAATAAAAAATTATCCACTATTTTCATGTATATCTTTATTTAATAGTATAACTAAATCACACATAAATATAAAAATTTATTAATTTCAAATATTTATTAAGAGTATTTTTAAAAAAAAGGTTCATAAATTGTGCCTAGAAAATATTAAAATGCTTTATATTTTTAAACAATATATTCCTAAAAAATGCTTTAAAATTTTGAATGAAGGAATTATAATTTTATTGGCAAAGATCAGGAATTTTTGGATTCGATTTACAGGTTACCGGACCGGCGGACCTACAAATTTTTGCAGACAATGCAAGTTATTACCCGGGCAACTTGAATAAGATATCTGGTTATTGTATGCCTCTAGCGAAATCAGCTGACTTGTCAAGGTTTAGAATGGAGTTTTCTTTTGATTTCTTAGGAAACCTCGTTCCGAAAACTAGGAATTTTTAAGCTTTCTTTTTCTTTTCTTTCTTTCTTTCTGTTTTTTACCACGAGTTTTTTTATATTAAAATTTTTTGGGAATTTTAATCTTCCCTAACTTTTGGACTTTGGTTATATATATGTAATATGGTATGGAAGCTAAATCCGAAATATAATTTACCCATCTAATACACTAAAGCTCTTTTGCAGCAGAGTAGTCATTCAAGTGGTTGAGATCCGAATACGTTGCGAAGCTTAAAAGTGAAGTATGAGCCGAATTCAGACTTTCCAGGGAGCAATCGTAAAGTATTCAAACAATTTTTTTGACAAGAAAAAAAAAAAAAAACTAAACACGCAGGCAACTGATATTTTGTGTTTCAGTTACTAAGATAATTAACTCCATATGATAAATACTAAAGACTTCCTATTCCAGAACCCACCGCATGATTTTATGTTTTGTTTTTTTTATCAAATGTATACTTCTGTTCCTCTATTGCTACGGGAAAACATGTCAACGCACCAGTTAGCGTGTCTCGTTCAAGCAGTGTTTTTGATAGGTAAGATGTTAGAAATAGAGATGTAAGCAACGCTACCAAATTCGGGTCTCATGGAATCAGAAAGTTAAGAGGGTCTGGACTATCTGGGAATCATATTCCTATCTTCTGGTTAGGTCTAACATGTAAATTTTTTATTTGAGGTTAATTTTTGATGGGTTATTATTAGGGGTCTAGAGGCAATAAACTAAAGCTTAAGCTAAATATCTCAACAAGGCTTCGACAATATTTGCTGCAACGTGCTTTGTTCCTGTTTGCTGGCATTTGGTTCGCCCGGTACTGAAACCATTTTATGATTCATTATTCTCAAAATCACATGTGTTAATTTAGGTAATGGGACAGAGAATTGAAAATTGAATATTTTTAATGCCAACATGCCAGTAGAAGTGTAAAGATAAAGAGGCATAGCATTCAATTATTCATGGGGACTAAATAGTATGGGTTTATCATGAATTTTATATAAATTCACAGAAAAGAACCATCCCTGTACACTTTTTTTTTTTTTTAAGTTTACCTATAACCTAGTCATTTTTCATAAAAAAGAAAAACATATATGTACGCGCACACCCAGATCTATCAACAACGAGGTCAAACTCATAAAATTCACTGAATGTTAAAAAAAGAAAGTTTATTAAACCAATAAATAAATGTGCTGCTCTTGTGATTGAACTAAAGAAGTAAAGATGCATCCATGATGGGTTAGAAAAGTAAAGGTGATAACTCATAATAAATCTCATAGTAAATTAAAATTTGCGATATCATTTTCTATGAATAAGTCATACTATTTAGGCTTTATGATTCATCAAGCCTAAATAAAATAATTCGTTGCAATTTAATATTTTCCAATCCAAATAAGTAATATGAATTGACATCTCCTACTATCACCTTTTAATCCTCTATCAATTGCGTCGATTTTCTTCTTCACTTCTCTTTTCTTTTTTCTTTTTACCCGATAAATTTCTTCTTCACTTCTTAATTAGCCGTTTGCTAATATCTTTTCAAGAAAGGTAAAATATTGAACTTTTTGGGTTTGGGTGATCATTTTCTCGTCGCAATTAAAATTTGTTGGAAGGGGGAGGGAAAAAGATGGAAACGAGTAGGCAAGCTACTGGTCTATCAGTTACAATTTCCAAATAAATCAGTCGGTTTCGCCTACGCCTGCGTCGTGCATTTTTCCATCTTGAAATTGGCCCGAATCGGAATCAAATATCAAAAACGCTGAAATACGGTTTGAAGTGAGCAGCAAATTCAAATCCGTTTGCTCAAGATGGAGACTTTGCCGACCACCTCATCGAAAGCCGATAGGCGATGGAGATCAAAGTCTCCTCAGACCTCAAAACCGTCGCTCGTGATGGCTTTGTTCTCTTGCGTTGCTTGGCTTTACGTCGCTGGCCGGTATGTTTCTAGACTTGATTTTCCTAAAATGATTGGAGGTGAATTTTCGTTTAGTGTTGGTTGCATTTGCGTCGATTCAACCAATATGGTTATTTTGAGATCTCTATTGCGGTGCCTGGAATTGGAGGTTTCCGCCTTTGTCTTTTTCTTCAACTTTCCTGGACGCGAGGTCCACCAGATTGGTATGCAATTCTGAGTTTTTATATAATTAAAAAAAACGCGCAAGCCAAATTGTGGAAATTGAATCTGGATTCGATTTTATGTCCCTGTTTTACCGGGATAATGCGGTTGTCATTATCTTCGCAATTTCTCATTTTTCGTTGTTACTTTCAAACTTCTAAACGTAAATTACTTGCTCCCAGCTTGTTTGCATTCTAACGAAATTTTTTTTTCACTTTTTTTTTTGGAATGATAGGTTATGGCAAGACGCAGAAAACCGAAATTTACTTACCAATCTTCTGAAGAAGAACTCAGCCCAGGTGTTATTTAGTTTCAAGTCTCTGTCTTTCGATTTTAATTGGTCGCTGTCAAGCAAAAAAGTTCTGAAAGTTTATCGAAGCAGAATAATTGATTCCCCCCCCTCCATTTTGCTTGTTCTAATTGTTTGATTCATTCAAGTCTCTTACCTTAAATAGCTGTGATCACGTTGCCAGAGGCCCAAGGTTCTCACAGTTGAAGATAAGCTAATGGTCCTCGGATGCAGGTGAGTTCACCCTGTTTTATCCTCCCTTTCTTTGGATTAGTCTTTGTCAATATTTATGACATCTGTCCAATTATTAGGGACCTAGAGCGGAGGATTGTTGAAGCTGAAATGGAACTTACATTGGCAAAGAGCCAAGGGTATCTCAAAGGCCAGTCGCTGCAAAGTAGCTCTTCTGACAAGAGGCTTCTTGCTGTCATCGGAGTTTATACTGGATTTGGGAGTCATTTGCAAAGAAAGAAATTCAGAGGGTCTTGGATGCCCAGAGGTCTTTTTTGTTTGTTTTTTGATTGTTATACTTCTCAACTTGTATTATGTGTTAACTTTTAACATTATGTAGATCATATCATTGTGCTACAGGCTCCATTACATAGCATTGACAGGTTCTCATTTTTGCAGGTGATGCCTTGAAAAAACTTGAAGAAAGAGGAGTGGTCATACGCTTCGTAATTGGTCGGAGGTTTTTCCTCATACTTATCCTTTGCAACTGTTACATTACCTGCTTGATTTTTTGATGATTAATTATTTGCTATAAATGGTGTTGAGTCCAACTTCTCTTATGATTTAATTGCTATTGGCAGTGCTAACCGAGGTGACAGCTTAGATCGCCATATTGATGAGGAACACAGTTTGACAAAGGATTTCTTGATTCTCGTAAGCAATCGAGTTTCCATGTTGCTGTAATTTAAATTAGTTAATGCCTCAATATTCTATGTTGTAGTATGTGTGTGGAGAGCTACTAGAATATGCATATATTTGGATATTGTTGGGATTTTACATTTATTTGCAAGCAGTTACTTTTTGCTTTTGTGTGTGTGTGTGTGTGTGTTTGTATGCCTAGTGCAGAGGACAATTCTTGACCCTTCTGAGTTCAATTAATTGATTCTCATTTTTCTTTCTTTCATTTTTTTTTGGGGGGGGGGTTAACATTATGAGGTTTTGAATATGGACCTCCACCTATACCACACCTCATCCTTGCCGCTTGAATTAGCCTCCAATGGCTATGCTCTGTTCTTTTCATTCAATAAAATATATTGATGCTCTTTTGGTGTTCTGCCAAGAGCTTGACTATTTTTGTTAATTTATCAGGAAGGTCATGAAGAAGCTCAGGAAGAGTTGCCTAAAAAAGTAAAATTCTTCTTCAGTGCTGCTGTTCAGAACTGGGATGCTGACTTTTATGTGAAAGTTGATGACAGTATTGACCTTGATCTGGGTATAAGACCCTTTAAATATTAATTTCTTTGCTTAGGAGATCTTGTTTACATCTCATCTTGCCCTTATGTTCATGAGAACCGATCAAAGCATTCTTGTTGCTGTTTTCTGGTTTAACAGAGGCTTTAATTGGAGTTCTTGACCGTCGTCGTGGTCAAGATGGGGCATATATTGGATGCATGAAGTCAGGAGACGTTGTATCAGAAGAGTACATTCTCTATTTTATCTTTCTGTTATGTTACAATCTGTTTGGATAACCTTCAAAAGTACATCCAAACCATATTTGGGATGTGCTTTTGCCAAATCCAACAAATAGTTGAATCCTCCAAATGTACTCTTGCCAAATGTAAACTGAAATCCAAACGGGTGCTTAGTTGGGATTGTATATGTACAATGCTGTTGACTTGTTTGGCAGTTTCTTGTGGTATCAGTAGGGTGTGTGATTTTTTACCCTTCTCAATGGGGTTATTTTTTTAGTTTGTTAACCATTTTCTATAATTTTATTAATTGAATCTGTAGTTATTCTTGCTTTGGAGTTTGGATGTTGTAGAAACGCCACCCCCCAAACCCCCCAAAAAAAGATCCCTTTTCAATCTCTGTGTGCCCCGTTTGCTAAGAAACTTTGAATTTCCTGGCTGTAAGAACTTTACTTCCATAAATACGTGGAGGCCTTTCCTATATATGCTAATTTTAAATACTTTTTGTTCAGTTTGAAATTGGTATTTTCCGAGATTGTTCAGCCTACTTGTTTTTTCTTTTCTTGGTAGCTTTTGTCACTTTCTCCTTCTTTATAGCTGTAATAACATATTATCACAAATCTATCGCAAAGGCCATAACACTATGGCAAGATGTATCCTTTTACTATGATATTTCAACCGAGAGCTTTCCATCTACTTATGAGCATCTTTATCATTGATTTTCAGGGGAAAGCCATGGTATGAACCTGAATGGTGGAAATTTGGGGATGAGAAAACGTAAGCGGTCTACCTTTAGGATGAGAAAATTATTTGGAACTTTCCTTTGCATCTGTTATTTTATAGGCATAGATCATCTTCAATGTGTGTATGCCCCAAATTAACTGCAGTCTTTGGAATTTTATCTCACTCCTTTTCTTCTTGCCACATAATTTTATCTCTTTTCACTAGTTTTCACTCTGTGGGAATGCAGCAGCTAGTGAGCGTTATCATAGATGTTGCTTTTTTTAACAATTTATTTGTATTATGCTTAACTTCATACAAAAAGGAGCCTAGAGAGAAGTATTTGGTCTGCGCAATTGTCTCTTGTAGTATTTAGCATATTTGTGATGGTTCTTCATGTTTCTGTTTTTCCTTAATTTTATTGGTACCATGGTGATTAGACGGGTTTTTGCCTTTACCTCTTCCTGATGGCTTAACATACACTGTGCCTTTATTCACAGTGGGTTATTCCTATCACATAAATCCTGAGCTCTTTTTTTTTTTCCTCTTTTCTTTAGGTACTTCCGACATGCAGCTGGTTCACTTTTGATACTTTCGAAGAATTTGGCACAGTATATTAACATAAACAGGTTAGTATTTAGTCTAGCGCACACTCGGAAGACCTGGTTTACTGGAAATTTTGAAACTAGCACAATCATTTTGGCTGATAATAACATCAGAGTGCCTTGTTCAAGGAACTTGAAAAGTGGGACCCTGTGAAGGTGGATTTTATTTTTAACTTAATTTACCAAGCCGTTGAATTGCTTTTTTGTGTTTATTCTCAGAAATACTAGTTGACACCATAATGGGTGCTATCAGCCTGGGTGCAGTAATAACTTGTCATTAGCGTCAAACTTGCATAAAGGTGACTCTGCAAATAGGCATTCTCATCTTAGAATAATTGAAAGTCAAGCTAGATAATTCCAGTCTTTCACCCCATTTCGTCTCAGAGCGAGGAGTCTCTCGTTTGTGGTCAGGGTTAGGAGGGCTTGCCTCAAGGTTGAGGGCTGGGGACAGGTTGAGCCTGAGAACATGCACCTATCAGTGATATGTGTTCCCTTAGCTTCCCATGCAGGGAAAGGCCTCTCCTTGTCTACAGTCATGATTTTATTTTTCGCTAACATGTAGATGAAAATATTATTCCTTTTAACTTACGAGATACTAATGTAGTCAGTCTTTCATGATAGTGGATGTATTCAACTGTACCAAGAAAAATATCTTCCGGATTTTTCCACCTCTGAATTGCAGACTGATTCAGTTCTGTTATATATAGCGTGTCTCTTAAGACTTATGCTCATGATGATACATCAGTGGGGTCATGGATGATGGGGGTCCAAGCAACGTATATAGATGACAGTCGTCTTTGTTGCAGTAGCATTAGACAAGGTGAAATTTCTGTAGCCATCATGTCCTTTTCCTCATTTATTTTTCTCCATCGTTTGGGCGGCCCTTTTAAGAGGGGGGGGGGACCTTTCCGGCTTTTGTAGTGTTATTCTTGGGGAGTTTAGAGTTTGATTAGGTTCTCATTTTGGCTCATGATGAAGCAAATTGTCTTACTAGTGGTGCTTATTTTCCAGACAAGGTTTGTTCCTTGGCGTGATGGGAGGAGAACGGCTAGTCGTATACAATCTAGTAAATTTAAAAACTCTTGTCTGAATATCAGTGCTGCCTGCGGAAGATTGTGTAGTCTTTTGAGATGCATCAAAATCCAGTGACATGATAACTCTCTGATGCGCGTAGTGACAGTGAAAGGATAGCTACAGATTGATGGACCTTAATCATTGCAGGCCAATAGCAGCCATTTTGAAGCTCACTTGATAGTTGATACCTCCTGATGTTTTATAACTTCTTTTATTTTCCCCCTTTACCCCTACTTCATTTGGCATGTTAAACCATCTGCCGATGGGCAAAGAGAGAAACAACACTTGGATTTTAGTACCGAAAAACATTAGTGTATGCTGGCGGCCCGTTCTTTAGTTCATACTTGATTCACTTTCATTTTGGGGACTTGGTCATTTCATATTTGAAGTTGAAGCTACGAGTAGGACGCATGGCAATTTTGTCAGTTTAGTGTGGAAGCCGAGCTCTAGACGTGGAGGCTTCCCTTGCGTAGCAAATTCTATTATTTAATATTTATAGATTATAGATTTCAATTAAATAGTATATTTTAAAGTTATGGATCTATATCTATGTATCTATATTTTATGTATAACAAATTTTATATCTTTATTTTATAAAATGTATAGGATGTCATTCCGATTATAACTCGCGTGTCTTTAATGCAAGAGTTAGTTAACCAATTCACATAGACGGAAAAAAATTAAGTAAATTTAGTATTTGCAAAATACATGTCTAATTTTCTTGAAATACCTTTTCTTTTAATCATTCATATTGTGGTACGTCATCAATCATCAATGTAGTTTATACGTCATACATCTATGATGTATCGATATTTTAAATTTTCTCATGTATTCACATCGGTATTGTATTCGATACTAATACTTCTTCAATACATATTTATAAAGTATTGGAATATTATTTTTAATTTTAAAAAATTCAGTTGTTGATATGTATTTGATACTTCAAAATTGTTAGTTGATTCTTTAAAGTTAATACTTCTTTTGACTCCATTGAAGATAGGTGTATATTAAATCTCAAATGTTGGTGGGTGATGCATGATTCTTCAACCCCTTTACTTTGAAAGCTTTCTTAAGTTTCTTGTGCAGTTTTGCTCTTCATTATATTGTGAAAGGAATCAAAGTACCTATTCATTCATTTATTCAATGAAAAGAAATAAGTTGAATCTCAAAAGGGTAGAACACTTGATTTATATCCATACTAATTTGTGACTCTTGGCTAGCTAGGAAAAGTGAAGAATATAAACAAAGCAACTCTAAGATGTGAGATACTAGTAAAGATGAATGGGATGACCTTGATAGTGTTGGAATTTTAGGAGTGGCAAATATATCTCTTGATGAATCAAATATAGAAGCTATCTTTTTTACAGATGATAGTCGAGAGCGACAAGATATTGATATTATATCTATTAGTAAAAATTAGGCAATAGACACTTAATTATAGATTGACTAAAGTACAATTAATGATTATGTTTTTCTTAGTATTTCTATAAAAAATTATATATATATATATGCTAGTTTGGATATTTTTTAAATTGAAATTATATTTTTAATATTTTAATGATTTTTTTATAAATGTATATGCACATATCAAAAAAGTATCGTATCCTATATTTTTAAACATAAAAGTATTGACACGATACCCATATCAGTATTTATGCACCCTAGTCATACAATAAGTATGATAACAAGAGGTCTCCCACAATGTGCGAATCAAGGTTAGAATTCTTCAATGACAATGATGATCATGTTTAATGTCAAACCCAGCCTCAAATAAGATTGTTTTTAATAAAAGGATATCTATAAGCAATTAATATATATATATAATAGTAAGAGCAGTTTGAAGAAAAAATGATAAATATAATAAGAGATTAAAACAATCTCAGTTAACTCTTGCGTTTAGTATTAGAGGGGGTTTTGTATATAAATTTTCATAAATTAATTTCTAAATTGTCTCAGTAGATGAGTTGTTCTCACTTTACGTTTAATTTTGTATTGTATATAAATACAGATTTTCATAAATTTATTTATTTATTGCAAAATGTAAATTAATTTATTTTAAGTATTTCATGCATTGTTTGAGTAATTCTCCAAAATACATTTTAATAATATTTGAAATGTGTTTTATCAAATTTAATAAATAATTATATCCTTCAAATAAATTTTTACTAAATAAAAATTCAAAACCAACTATACATTCAATATTTATGTGGATGGTGTCACTTGTTAAAAAAAATTGATTATCAACATATTTTTAGAGAAATCAATGTTCCTAAGGGCCTGTTTGATTCAAGAGGAGGGGAGGTGAGGGGAGAAGAGAGGAGGGAGAAGGAAGGGGAGGGGAGCTCCCCTTAAAATTTTCCCTTCCCTCCTCCTAACTAAAATAAGGGGAGGGGAGGCCTCCCCAACCAAACACATTTTAATTTAAAGGGTAGGCTTTGAAGGAAAGAGAATGGGAGGGAAAGGGAGGGAAAGGGAGGGGAGCTCCCCCTAATTTGGAGGGGAAGGGAGGAAAAATTTTAAAAATTTCATTTCCCCTCCTCCTAACCAAAAGAGGGGAAAGGAGGGGCTCCCCTCTTCCTAACCAAATGAGGGAAGGGGAGGAGAGCCCCTCTCCTCTCCTCCCCCCAACCAAACACACTCTAAAAATTAGCTCACTTAACATGCTTATAAGTCATTTCAGATAGTTTCTTTTTATGGATTTCTCTTCTAAGGGTACGTTTGATTCAAAGGAAGGGAAAGGGAAGGAAGGAGAGGTAAGGGAGGGGGGGGAGGAGGGGAAGGGGAGGGGAGCTCCTCTCCTCCCCCTTACCTCTCCTTCCCTAGCCTCCCCTTCAATTTGGAGGGGAGGGGAGGGAAAATTTTTTTCCCTCCCCTCCCCTCCAACCAAACATATCCTAAGAGTCTTTCATAGCTGGTATGTATCCATTGTAATTGACACGATTTACAGCCTGACATCGTAGCGTTTTATTTTATTTTTTTAAAAAAAGAGTTTCAACATGGATGAAGAAGAACCCCTCCAAGAAAACTCATGTTTTATGCTAGAAGAACGAGAGAACCAATGGAAGGAGATCCTCTCTTCATCCCCATCTTCGCCTTTGATTAAAAAATGAAGGGTTTAGATTCAATTATTTTATAAAGCAATCATCATAATATTATATTAAAAAATAAATAACTTTAAATTGTTAAAATTTAATCTACATAGTTTATAACTGAAATAAAATAAATAAATAAAATTTAATATTTAAAAAAGTAATAACAATACATAACTGCAGATTGTGCAGGTTAAATTTTAATCGTTGAAAGTTATTTTTTTTATACATGATATGATAATTAATTTATAAATTTAATAAATCTGGACTATTCATGTTCTTGTTAAGGGTGGAGATGAGGTCGAGGAGAAGAAAAGGAGAGAAGGGAGGGGGAGAGGATCCGGATCCGTGAACCAACTCTGTCGATAACGTGTCATCTGTGAGGGCCTAAACAAGTAGACGAACCACGGCTGGATAGAGTATCGGCATCGCTTTTAATGGGAACTCTTCTGAAATGCTACAGATCCTTCTTCTTGATGCTTCCCTATCCGGCTCGAACGATTCAATTCAGAACCAACCAGCTGGGCCCCGCCGCCATTTTCAGAAGGAAGAAGCTGGGTTCGGTTACTCGTTGTTTTAGTGCCCGTTCTTTGCGGTCATACCAACCGTCGCTTACTGAACAGAGCGCCGGAAAATTCGACGGTGAGAGGGGTAGAAGTCCATCGCCGGAGCTATGGCTTTATAACACAATGAGTAAAGGGAAAGAGCTGTTTAAACCCAAAGTGGAAGGGAAAGTCGGAATGTATGTCTGCGGAGTTACTGCATATGACCTTAGCCATATTGGACATGCTCGCGTCTACATCAATTTTGACGTTCTTTACAGGTTTCTCTTCTTCTCTATTTAAGGCTAGTGGCTTTTGGTTCGATCTAATTTCATGGGAATGATTCTAATCCCTGTTTGATTGACGAGAAAACAAAGCGGAGTTCTTCTTCTTCTTTTCAAGAAAATTATATTTCCTGTTTATCGAGGATCAAAGGTAGGAGCTTGTTGATGATTATCTGAGCCAGGTCTAAACCATATGGAATAACACGTAATGTATTTTTTGTTTTGAGTGATGAAAATTAGTGTTCATGCTTCAATATGTGATCTTTAGATCCACTGACTAGAGAGAACACCAGTTCTAACACTTCCTCGCAGATTATCTTATCATCTTGATTACCAATGTCACTTTTCTGCTCCTTACGATTAAAAAAAATTTGAAGTTCAAACTTTCAGTACTGATGGTTTTTGTTTTGTACTTTCTTTGACAATTAGGCAGATATCTTAAGCATATGGAATTTGAAGTCTGTTATGTTCGCAATTTCACTGACGTAGATGACAAGGTGAGTCATAGTTGCTATTACCGTATCATAAACCCGTGCTCCTGTGTTTGACATTTTTTAGTAATTACTTCTCATTTCTGATTACTATCCACGAATTTAGAAAACCAAATGCTTGCTTTCTCTCCTTTGCATTTCATTTTCTTTTGTGTTTTTTTTTTTTGGATAAAACTTATAAAGTTGCCTAGGTATTTGTACGGTTTTCCCCAATAACAATGAAGCTTGTAAAATAAATTTTTCTACAGAGAGGTTGTGAATTTAATTATATCCCTTTGTAACAAATACGAAGTACCCACTGCTTTTTACATTGGCATGACAGGATCTCAGTCTGCGCTTTTCAAATTATGTAGATAATTGCTAGAGCAAAGGAGTTAGGAGAGGATCCAATCAGTTTGAGTCGACGCTATTGTGAAGAGTTTAGTGAAGACATGGCAACTCTTCATTGTCTACCACCTTCTGTGGAACCACGAGTATCGGAGCATATGCCCCACATCGTTGATATGATTGAACAGGTTCATTTCTGTTCATTTTCCTGCTGTATTAATATGTACCGCATGGAGATTGACAAGTTATGGACTATTTCATGTCTAAAGTCTATTTTCTGCTTCTCAGAAATCCTATTTGGATATGCTGTTGGATGATGGAATTCCTTTCTCGTTATTATCAATTTCTCTTATCTTAATATGCCTGAGAAATTTGATTGTCTCGTCTTTAATCAGTTAACATACTTGTTGGCAGATTATTAAAAATGGGTATGCCTACATTGTTGATGGGGATGTGTACTTTGACGTTGAAAAATTTCCAGAATATGGGCAGTTATCTGGACGAGATCTTCAAGATAATCGAGCTGGTGAGAGGGTTGCTGTTGATTCAAGGAAGAAAAATCCTGCTGATTTTGCTCTTTGGAAGGTATAATATCTTTGATGTAAAATGATTATGGATACCTATTATCCTGTGTCTAAGAGTGGAATTAAACACTAATTAATCAAGAGATTGAAGGTAAGTTGTTCTTATGGCTTTGGTAAAGATAATTAACATTCTGTAAAAGATGCCTTTTTCATTATAAACCCAATTGATGAAAATAGAATAATTTTACGTATTATTTCAGTTTTTTATTTTTTCCCATTTTTATGGGTTTTCAATTCTACATTGCAGTCTGCAAAGCCAGGAGAGCCATTTTGGGAGAGTCCCTGGGGCCCTGGAAGACCTGGGTGGCATATTGAATGCAGTGCTATGAGTGCAGCTCATCTTGGCTACTCTTTTGATATCCATGGTGGAGGGATCGACCTTGTGTTTCCTCACCATGAAAATGAAATTGCTCAGAGTTGTGCTGCATGCAAGAAAAGTAATGTAAGTCTCTGGATGCACAATGGTTTTGTCACTGTTGACTCAGAGAAGATGTCCAAGTCTCTGGGAAATTTTTTCACCATACGACAGGTGATGCATTTGTGATGTTTCAGGTCTTGTATTCAAGTCTAACATCTTTTCATGTCAAAGAAATAAAAAGCCCAATTTCTAAAGTTCCATGATTCTCTTGTTGCTTTTTCTATTGTGTTACTAGGTTGTAGATGTTTACCATCCGCTGGCTTTGAGATATTTTTTGATGGGAGCCCACTATCGATCTCCCATTAACTATTCTCATGTACAGCTTGAAAGTGCTTCAGACCGTGTTTTCTATATATACGAGGTGCCAATTTCATAGGATGTTGACTGATTAAAATAAAACTTATCTTCTTTCCTGCTCAATGCTTTTGATTGTGCTTCCTTCCTTCATCTTCTCATTGTAAGCGTTTTATGGGTTTATTTTGATGAAATTCATGTGATTGCAGACTCTATATGAATGTGAAAGCTTTCTGTGCCAACATGATCTCACAAACATGAAGGATTCCATCCCACCTGATATTTTAGATATTATTAATAAGTTTCATGACGCTTTTGTGGCTTCAATGTCTGATGACCTCCACACCCCCGTTATATTGGCTGCACTGTCTGACCCATTAAAAGCAATCAATGATCTGCTACTTACTCGCAAGGTATGGTATTTTCTCGTGTGGAGCAAACGATAGCACTTTATGACAATTGTATAATTGAATGAGAAGAAAATCTATAAATGCATGCATTTTATTTTAATTAATAATTATTAAACAATCGGTATTTGTTTGAGGAGAAATGCATATGCAATTTCATTACTTGATTATATAATCATGACGACACAATCTAAGAAAAGGTTGAACGAAGGTCTAGTCTGGACTCCTTCCTCGTTTTGTGGTTTTGTGAGGCTATGATCTTCTCTATTTCTTCAATGTTGAACAACTTTTAGAATTTGTATCAGTATGATATGAATGCTGCTTTCTTATGGTGGTTTTTTTTTTTTTTTTTTTTTTGAGTTAGATATGTGGATTGTTGCATCTTAGCCCTTTTAACATTTCCGTGTTGATAATTAATTCAGGGGAGAAAACGAGAATTACGAATCGAATCTCTTTCAGCTCTGGAGAAGCATATTAGGACCGTTCTGACTGTTTTAGGACTTATGCCTGCAAGTTATTCAGAGGTATGACGCACTCCCTGTTCTGTTATTCTCCTGCACATTTTTGGGATATCATACTCATTTCAAATGCATATTCCTTCAGGTAATTTTTTTTAATTTCTTACTGAGTTGAAATTTGGCTGAGTGATTTGCAACTCCCAAATTTGTTTAGCTTCATTCTTGATTCCCTATTCAACTCTGGATATATTTTAATAGATAAAACTGAATATTCTAATAATGCAGGTTTTGCAACAACTAAATGAAAAGGCTTTAAAGCGTGCAAATTTGACAAAAGAACAAGTCTCGCAGAAAATTGAAGAACGGGCTGCTGCTAGAATGAACAAGGAGTATGAAAAATCAGATGCAATTAGGAATGATTTGGCAGTTTTAGGTATTGCTCTTAAGGACAGTCCAAACGGTACAACGTGGAGGCCCACCATTCCTCTTTCACTTCAAGAACAGCAGACTAATGCACCTTGAAGATAAGAGTCAAGGTTTGTCTATTGCTCACACATCTCCAAAAGAAATGGATTTTGAAAGAAGCAACAAGAAGGATGGCCTGGGTGTATCAAGTATCAACTGCTCGGTTCTTGGAGACTAATTATTGATACCAAGTGTCGTGAGCTTGGTGCAGTTTGAGTTGCAATAAAAGAAACATGTTGGGCGATATTTGTTTTCTGGAAAATCATAGCCCGCATTGGGCAAAGAATTTGAGCGTGATTTTTAATAAGTCTTTACTAGAATTCTTACTTTGAAGCTACCATTATTTAAAATTGACATTGGCATGTTTATCTGCCTTTCTTGGAGAACATATTAACAATCCAGATTTCAATCGTCATTAATATCTCTGATGAAATAAGCCGCAAACAGTGTCATAAGCCGTAGGACAATAAAAAAGAAAAAGAAAAAAAAGGAGTCGAGTTGTCCTGGCAGAGCCTTTTTTTTTTTTTGCCCCCCGAAGTGGCGAATTTATGCCCTGTACCCTTGAAAGCTCGAGGAAACGAGATGGCTTCTTCAATCGCCATACAGCCTCCGCACAAGTCGTTTTTAGGAGACAAGAAGAATTGTAAACCAAAGAAATTGATTGTTAAACATGTGCTAGTAATTTATGAACAAGATACCAAATATCCAGTTATTTTTAACGGAAGTATAAATAGTCAATTTAGGAAATTAAATGCAGGATGACAAACAGAGGACAATGGAGATGTTCAACTAGAGCTTGAGCCATCAACTTTTGCTGCTGCAGATGCATAACTAACACTACTGTCCCTAGTAGTTTTGCACTGACTGGACTGCTCGTAGCGAAGGAATTTGATTTTTATGTTTGTTGAGCAATTCATAAGCATCTGATTCAATTACAAGTCATTGGTAAGAAAAATGATATTAGCATCGAGAAACTCATTCGGTGTGTCATGCAGCAAGAGTTTTGCTTTTCCACACATACATATATGCGCGCGCGCGCACATATATGTTCATACACCCGGGGGCCACATGCAGGTAGTAGTGCTTCAATATTTGTTTAAATCAAATCTCAGATAAAATAACATTTTTAGCTCTATTCATCACAATGTTCCAAACTTTTGAAAGCTAATAACATCACTGAAGCCACTCAATTATTTTCCAAGTCAAATGGCTAAGCTATTTGCTATCACAATCATATGAATTCAACAATAGATTCTTAAATAACAATAGAATGATAACATCGCAGTTAGCACCTGAACGGATTCTTTAGATATGCAAAACTACAATAGTTTTAATCGTTTACCTTGCAATTTATTAATGGAACAGACTATCAATTGGCAGGTTTCAAATGGGAACGCTGATTACTGCCGGAGATACCAAATCATAAAATAACTCCCAGGCAACAAAGCCAACAAAGTACTTCATTTACCAATGTTCTTTCTCTATCTTTCTTGCATGTTTTATAATTTTATCAAAAGATGGGTAGAGAAAAACTTCCCAAATTTATATTCAGTTTCGCTTCTAATAGTGCACAATACGAGTGGAGAATCATTTGGTAGGTGCAAATTTGGAGGAACGAAACTTAGAATCACAAATCCCACAGTAATGTCAATGGTGATGGCAATAACAATTCTTTGCTGAAAACGGGAGAGTGATTGCAGCAATTAAGAATGCACTTACATGGAGAAAAACACTAATTGGATGGCGTCCACAAATTGTGTTGTCATACTCCAAAAGATATTTTTTGAATGCATCTGGATCTCCTGTTTCTATAATGCCCATGCCCATCTTGTCTAAGGCCTCGATAGATTTGTATATAGGCCCATGTTTCTTGTCATGATACATGTAATTAAATCTGATCAAAATAACAGTTAGCATACAAGGGTAGAATTCATGACAACTATAAGAACCAGCTAGGTTAAGATGAATCAATGATCAACACCTGCCTCAGCTTGTTGACTACTGATATGCACAGTAAAAGGCCACGACAAAATAGAGGCAGATTATAAACAAAATAGAGGCAGATTATAAACATTAATAACTAAAAAGTATAAAATGTCAGATCACTGACAGAACCAGGAAGTATCTATTTGTAAAATATGATCAAATCACCAAAGCATATCTAGATTTAAAAGTTTGTGTTACCAGCGAATTATAAAAATTAAATAGCATTGTCATATAACCAGTTCACAAGGAAAACGAGGAAGCACTGTATCTATCGGGTGATGTGGCACAAAAGGTTGTAACTAGGGTAACAGAATTAGCAAATTTACTTCATACGCAATTTTATATAGAAGTCTCAGTTTGCTATCAGTGTTTGTTGCCACATCTCAGACAATTAAGAGTATACTAGTACTAAGAACCAGGGAGGCAAGAGGGAATTGAATGCGTAAACTGTGCATACCGAGATCCCCAATGACAAAAATCTGATGACACGGAAAAGAAATTGTGCGGATCATCCACATACTTAGCAAGTATTTGTCCATACAAGGCTTCATTCTCAGCACTAAGAGCACCAACTAAAATGGGTACTACTTTTACCTGATACCTGCATCAATATGACAAATTCAGTCTTTGTTGCTAAGTTTTAGAACAGAAGCATCTATATGACAAAGTTTACCCCTCAAATACTTTGACAAGATATGGCAAATGCATTTCCATGCTATGTTCAGCCTCATCAACCCGAATATCCATTAGTTCAAATTTCCCCGTAGCTTTAAGCTCCTCATTTACTGGGAAAATAGTACAGATTAATTTGAGCAACATATGGACAAAGTCGAAATTAAATTAAAATTCAGACCACTTCCTTGCTCTCATTAAGCTGATTCAGTTATTCCTCGTATCTTCGTAATTCATGGATAAAAAACTAATATCCCAACAATTTTAATTACCTTGAGCATATCACTTTCTCTTTTCAGTGATTATAGAAATTCAATCGTACTGATAAATATCCAAGAGATATTTTCAGTAACATTGAGATTTTTCCAACTTCTTAAGGAAGTCCAAATTTTTATAAAACATGTAGACAAGAATTACCAATAATCCTAATATGAGAATTCTAAAATTACCTTCCAAATCTATAGGCAGATCCCCTATGGGGGTCTTGTAGACTGTGGCAATAGAAAGGGCACATTTAGGAGTGTAATAGTGGTGAGAAGGACCGAGAAGGAACACCCGAGAGCTGAAATTTTAAAATAGAAGAAATATACTAGTGAACATTGAAAAGCACAGTACTTTGAAGGGGAGAAGCAAATCCTATTTCCACAAATATGACATTTAACCTTCACTAGGGGAAGAGAGCGTGTCAAATGAAGGCAAGAGGGCAAAGAAAAACAAAACGCACATGTTAGATGGATCTATATTTCCAAATGCATAAGCAGCAGCTCGTCCCGAATAGGAATACCCTGCATGTCTAACATTTTGGTGCACCCAAAGGTTGAACAGGAAATCAATTAGAATCAATTCATATCCCAAACCGGAAAACGCCTAAAGCGTAGAAACTTACGGTGCTATTACACCTCGTACATCAGGAGATTTGGTCAGACCAGATGATCTCAGCCATCCATCGAGCTCGTCCGACAGCTGCTTAGCTGAACAAGTGATAATGAAGACAGATAAAGTTAAAGCCAAAATACGAACAAATGTTGCTGTCAGACAAAGGCACCAACATAGGAGCTTAATTAAAAGTGGATATAGCTCCTAGATTCTTAAGACTTTCACTGATGGAATTCTAAAATCAGTTTAATTAGCATCCTGGACATTTACAGAAATTGCGAATAATCAACTGAGCGTTCTCAGACCTTAATCATGTCCTGTCACATTTAACCAACTAGATGAACCAAGACAATAATTCAGAGGACAGCACACTTTCGAACATGATCACTATCAGTCTCAGCAGATTGATCGAGTTCCTTATCACCAATTACTATCGCAAGAGGTTAAAGCATCAATCTTTCATTTAAAAACAAACAACTGAAAGAACATTAGGTCATCTACGACCGTCAAACTTCAGTTCCCCCCCCCCCCCCCGGTTTTTAGTCACTAGTATTCTGGTTCCTCCGATGCATGTGATGAAGAGAGTGAACGGGGGGAAGATCGCGTTAAAACTCGACGACTTACGATTATCAGTATACCAAGAACCGGCATGAGATGCTCTCCTGAACTTCTCCATGATTGGAAATTTGAGTTTAGGAAAGAAATATGAGAGAACCGAGAAAACCCTAAAAGGCCTAATAATTGATTCCCTCCAAGGTCTCACTCCCAGTCTCAGAATGTGCTAAGCTCGGGTCCTTTTAGAAAGGACTAGAATTGTTCACTTTCCTCAGTTGCCTTGCAAACTCTGCAACACGAGGTAGGTATATATTTAAAGCAATTAAAAAATTATGTTTATTTCGATCAAATTACCTTTTTATCTGGAAAATTGGAGCGAGTTTCAGCCCCAACCTTCTGTACTGTTATTTTGCTGTTGCGCATGTAGTCATGTAAATAAACTTACGCGTACTAATCTAAATTAGGGATATATGTTAATATCAAAATTTGCATCTTATCGATTAGGTTATATTAAGAATATAAAATTATCAAAACAATAGGCATCTTCTTCCCCCCCCCCCCCAATTAAAACAATAGGCATCTAAAACTTTGGTAAAATCATCAAATAATTCAGTAACATTTTTATGGGTAAGGTATTTAATTATCAACTTCAATATTTTAATTATGTTTAGTTATGTGTATGTCAGCTTAATTAGCCTTGTTATAATTCAAAAAAAATAGAAATTAAACATACACTAATTACAGTTGATCACTATAGAAGAAGTTGTTGTCGCTTAAACACAATATATTAGATTTATATTTATGTAAATGTAAAAAAAAAACATTTTTGAGAAAATTATTTATAATTGAACCCGACAATACTTAAACCTTAACTAGTTAGATAGCAATATAAACTAATTAAGTATATATTCAATATCACGCTAAACTACATAGTACCTGTTTGGATTTTAATTGAATATAATATACTATAAAAATAATTAACTAAATGATAGATTTTAATTATAATTGATTATATTATAATGTAATCTGTTTAGATACTATTTTTTTAAAATTAATTGTAATAGAATTAAAGATATTTGAATAATTTATTTAAAATTAATTTTAATTATATAAATTATCATAAAAGATATTGCATTTTAAAATTAAATTATTGATAAATTTGTATTTAATATTATTAAAGTTGTTACATTTTATTTAAGAAGTAAAATATATTATTAATTTCATTTTTATTAAATTTTGGGTCTTTTTCTTGTAATCTTTCTATGTAACTTCTCCCAACACATTTTGATGTCAGAAGCTCGAATTGCCAGCTTTAAAAAAAAAAACAATTTTAACCAAAAAATTTGATTAAATAAAAATTACATGTTTGGATTTTTTTTTTGGTATAATTAAAAAAATTAATTATTTTGCTTAACCAAACGGGCACGTAAGCTGGGAAGCAAAGGCCAGTTCCCAACACAAAGCGTTTTGGGCTACACCCACTAAAAGGCTATTAGTATTAAATCTGTGTGTTAAAGGCGAATTTGGTTCAAATTAAATATTTACGATAAAATTAAAAAATCCAATCGAAATATGGTAGTTTGCCTCCAATTTAACCTATGCAAGAAGTGTTCCAATTGTCTTGTTATTTTTATGTTAACATTTACAACTTCATATGCATTACTTGATACGCATCATAATTTATTACTTTTCTTGACATTAATAAATATTAGCTATAAAATTGTTTTCAATTTCATAAAATATATCATTTGGTAACATCGGATATCATATACCATATAAAAAAAATTGAAGAGCTATCTTATGCTACAGGGCGTGAGCGACAAAGCGGTTGAACACAATTATGCAAGTGTAAAATTGGTGTAATCTCTTTTATTCTAAGAATTACATGGTTGAGGTAGTGATATCTGATGAAGAACCCGCGTAAGGGAACAAGAAGATTTTGGCATCATTCAAGAGGAGGTGGCCAAATTGGCCTGATCTTCAACCTCACCTTCAGGGGCCGACGATACCACAAAAAAGTTTCAACCTGAAATTGGAAGACACCAAAAATAAAATGATGATGATGATGATGATGAGTGGAACATGCTTAAATCAGAAAAATATACTGCAACATGCAAATAACACGCAGATTATCACAATGACAACACAGGAGCCTAAATTATGGGTAAATATCCAACAAGTAGCCTGCAAAATGAACAAGGCAAGCGACAAATAAATAATATTGACCATGTTGATATGGCCTTTGATTCTCTCCAGAAAGTTACATCCATTCTGAGCCTGAAAAAGCTTTTCTGTAATAATTTGGAGGATCTTCTGTCATAAACTCATAAGAAGACGGCATAATGCAGCAGAACAAACTTAATGCTGCTTACCTGTTGTAAAATAGGATGGCTGACAAAAACTAGAAGCAATTGCTGATGCCTAAGGACAATCCCAAACACGAGAAGATCAAAAAAAGAAAAAGCTCAAAATTGCTCCAACACGTAATGAATTTTGGGGGCTCGCCGACGGAACAATGGTTCGAGTCGAAACGATGGGACTCCAAATTGCCACCTCTGGGCGTCGTACATCTCATTCCACGCCTGCACTATCTCATCAATCTTGAACCCCCAACCTGCAATTATGTCAATCTCTTCGTTAGTCATCTCCCATCATCATGAAGTTTGACAAACTTGAGCCAAATCTGAAAATAGAACATGATGAATTATTTTCCATATCCTATACCTTCCAGTGCTGTTACATTGGAACAATGATTTTTTATCATCACAGCAATATCAGTTTGAGAAGCTCCAGCGAGTTCAAACTTTTCAACTGAAACCTCCAAACATTCCTCCCATGTTGGCAGGCCTAATTTGTATTCAACGACAGAACGTTCATACAATAAGGTACCCCATAAAAGGTTTATCTGTGACCTCATGTTATCAGCGTGCTCTGTAGCTTCATCAAGAGAAACATCCTTGAAAATGTTATCCAAACCCATCCTCTCCAATTGAGCTTTATATTTTTCTGATTTGGACAGTCCATTCAAGCGCTGTTCCTCCATCTCCTCCCACATCAACATGCCTTTCTCCATGCTGTCCTCTGCCTTGTTATAGAGCTGCAAAACCTCATCAGAAGGCCCTCTTTCTAGATCCTTCTTGCATGCGATTGCATAGTGCCAGCACAGCTTTGCTTGTTCAAACTGTTGATGCCCAAGAGCCAGAAACCCTTCATAGAAGTCCGGTTTGATCTTCAAAGCTTCTTGGTATCTCCTTTCTGCTTGCCTGTACTCCTTTCGTGCCCACTCATATGCAGCTTTCATATTCTCGATAAAAGATTCTCTTGATCCGTCTTCTGAAATGGAAGCACGCTTCCTTGCCTTGGACATGTGAACATTCCCCCAATTAAACATTGCTAAGGCTGCCATCTCTTGGAACTTGTCTATAGAAATATCAAAAAGTTCTTGAGCTTCATCACTTGTTATATTGTCCTCCATTGCTTCTGTATATAGCGTCATTCCTATCTCATGCAGATCCAAATATCCATCTGAATCAAACCCAACATGGTTCTTGAACAGCCTAGCAAATTGAACAATCCAGTCCTCCACAGTGGTCGTCCTAGTTGTTACAGTGTCTTCGCCTTCTTCCGCGGGCCCATCATGCTTAATACCATCATCTGTTCGCACCTGTTTTTCACTGGTTATTTCCTCATAAGATGGTTCTTGGCTTGGATCAACTTCTGTGATATGGAGTCGGATAGAGCCCAGTGCATGACCTGAAGATTCAGCTAACCTTAGTTCCTCAGTGGTGGTGATTGTGACCAAGTCACCATCTTGATCCTTGTATTTCACAAGAACACCCTTCAAGCCTGGAAAGCGATCCCTAATAATATCCCTCACCAATTTCAGACTACAATTCCCAGGTAACTGTGCCCACCTTATATCCTCCCCATATACCAACTTGGCCGTCCTCGTTACCTTTGTTTCTTCCTTAACAGGTTCCGCTATCAGTTTTTCCTTATCAATTGTCTTTGTCACCACTTCTTCAGTTTTTGCAGCATTCAGATTCTCCTCAACAACAACCTTATCCTCTGCGCTGTCTGTCTCTCTCTTTTTGCCTTTCTTTTTCTTTAGTTTCTTTCTGACCATATTACTCAAGCGAGCACCGGGACAAGTCAAACCAATCTTTTGCTCATCAATAGTGATGCCCTTCTCTTCCACCGTCTTTTTCAAACCCTCGAGCATCTCCAGTGCAGTAAGGTTATTGGGTTCCCAACTCAAGACGTGATTAACATCTCTCATAGCCAAATCCAAACGGTTCAATTCTTCATAGCATTTTGCCCTTCTCAACAGGGCTTTGCTGTATCTGGGTGATACTTCTAGCGCTAAGTTACATTCATTGATTGCTTTGGGGTACTCCCCAAGACCCATCTGCATGTAACACCAAGCCATGTGGCTTCGGAGGAGCGCAATTTCTATGTGGTTTTTTGGAAGGAGCTTGAGGGCCTTCTCATACTTCAATATAGCACCTTCGTGATCCTTCTTTTGAGAGAGTTTGTTACCTTCTTCCTTGAGCTCGTAAGACATGTTGATGAACATTGCCATGTCTTCATCAACGACAGCTTTGGAGGATCGTTCAGAGAGCTTGCTGCTCTTGCCGTTTGCAGCCTTGTGGTCTGAGAGATCCTTCTTCTTCCCGGCGGGCTTCCCCATGTTTATGATTTAGCAACGGTTCCAAAAAAAAAAAAGAGGAGGGGGAGGAGGAGGAAGGATGGCCACCCTCGAGATCAAACTTTACCATACAGTCCAAGAAAATTATAGGAAGAACTGAAAGATACGAAAATACAAGGAACAAAAATGATCAAAATAAGAAATAAGAAAAACAGTATTGTAACTTAAGATTTTCCAATTCAGATGCGAATCACGATATAGTGAAAAAGAAGCGGCGGGAAGATGTTGCCACACACCTTTGAAGCTGCTTGGAATCAGAATGAAGGGAGATTGACAGAGGGAGAAACGCAGATTTCAAAAAAGAAAACCGCAATTTGCAGAGGCGAATGCTCCCTCTCGAATGGGAATCGAGAGAGGAGAAAGGAGAGACAGAGCGGCGTCCGAGGTTGCCGAGAAATGAATCGCAAGGGGAACGTCCAAGCTTTCGCATGCGTTAATGATGGCTCTGAGAACTTGGAGAAATCTACTCCCCTACATGGCGCGTAAGTTTTTACGCTCTAACGTCGACCTAGTCTCTGACTCGCTGTTAGGGGACTTCCTTGCCACGCGCCTTAATGAAAGTGGCAGGAAAACTTAGAATTTTCTCCACCAAAACGGACATAACGGTCCTGTATACAGGATATTCCTACACTGTACTTTGTTCCTACGACATTTAACATTTCTTCAGGACTACTATTAACATAAAAATTTGTTATACAGAAAAAATAACTAATTTAGCATCATCCGATAGTTGAATTTGAATCATTTAGCGTTGAATGTAACTTTTAGTACTATTGGTAGCATGAGATATATCTAGATCTATTCCTTTATAATTATATGCTATGAGTTTTAATTCTCATGTATGATAATTCAAAATAATAATATCACATTTTAAAATTATAAAAATAACAAATAAAATAATTGCGAATACTTTCACATACAGGCTTATCATGCATCAAATATCTGAAATGTTCTGGCTGGCAAAAATAAAGTCTGAGAAAATTATGGGTGAGAGATCCCACAGTGAGGGAATTAGCCACTGATATTGGTGGTGGATACCTGATCTTGTAATAAAAAAAAAAAAAAGGTCTGAGAAGCTGTCTGGATATATGGGTGCTTAAATCGTTATTACTTGGTTAATATTCTGGAAAATATAAGATTACAAAATAAACAAAAAAAAAAAACGCGATAAGTTGAGAATACTAGAGGAACTTGGATAAAAAAAGGAGCCGTAATTGTATTATATGAGATTGAGGCGAAACTTGTAGCTCTATTTCCAGAAAGGTATAAAAAATGAAGCCTATAAAAATAAAAAGAAATTAGCATCGCTATTTTATTTATATATTTAGTTAAACAAAAATAGTATCGGGACCTAAAAAAAAATTACAGGAGAGGACTGCAACTAAAAATCTAAAATGGATGGGAGCAAATTGCAAACTTGAGGTACCATTTCTATGTCACTGTTACGACGTTACAGATTAGTATCTACAGGGTGAAAGGGTGAGGATATCAGATTGGGGCAAACACCTATGTGACAAGCATTGATTTTACAAAACACAAGACAAGTTGTCAGAAACCGTGTGTCCACCGTCTTGAGGGTAGGTGCTGGATACAAACCAAGGTGGCGTTACGAAAGCAGTCGAGAAAGTGACAAGGTATCTACACAGTTCCGGCAGCAGCAGGACAAGAAACCAAATAGTCCAGCCTCCCCGGGTTGAGCAATGTCTCTCTCTCGCTTGTGCAAGACTCTCAAAAACTCCTCGGAACTCAGGCTCCCATCCCGATTAGTATCAAACAAACCGAAAACAATGTCAATCACTTTGTCAGATAGAGAGACACCACACACCTGGAATCACAACAATCAACCAATAAGAATTAGACGGTAATTTGTTGACCGCGGTCAAATAATTCGAATAAAAAAAATGTCGAGCAGATGGTAGATCACTAAAGATAGAAGAGAAAAAAGAATATCATTATCAAGAACTTCCTCCCATATGGAGGGTTAAAAAAGAATCTAGAATGAAAATGATTTTTCTTTCCAACTAAATTATGAAGAAACTCTGTTTTAAAATGCATGAAACTCAGTTTCAAGATCTCAGGCCCGTTAATAAACCCAGGAAGACAGATTATCCAATACTCAATTTCAAGCACTTCCTTCACCTACAAGGGATGAGGTAAAACATTGCAGCGTCCACACAGAAAACGAAAACTTTTGCCCTAAGAAAAACTAAAGCTTTCTTAGAATGAAAATCTGATTATCATTATCAATACTAGAAAGATATCAAAAATAATAATCATACATGTGATGCAGCTCGTTGAAAGTCAGCTCTTGTTAGCAGGCCATTTGCTTTCCCAAAACTGAAGAGGGCCAATGAAAAAGGTAACAATTTTTTTCTAAGCTCTGCAAAATTTTTGAACTCCTCAAATGTAATTCGTTGTTCTCTAAAACTTGGGTCATTGTTTAATTCTTCAACCCGATCAAGCAACCTGCCTAAATGATTCATGTCAGCAGAAGCAACCATGGAGAGTGCGAAGTCCTTGGCAGATAAGGATTTCCTTGATTTATAGTCGTAATGGGCAAACTCAAGCCTGATAATCTACAGAAAATTTTATAATTATTACTTCTACATGATAATATATAAGGAAACTTCTCTAGAAAAAAGAAAAGGATAGTCCTCAATGTATGAGTTTTTGCTAGAAGTTCGAATCCACACAAAAGATGTCCAGTTGAATCATGCGTTTCAAGTTATCTGAAATCCTATTAAATCATAAGTTAACAAGCACTGACATTAAAATCAAAGCAGAATTCTCTTCATTTTATTTATACTTGTACCCCAATCACCATTCAGGTCTCTTATGCAGAAAGAATACAGTCGGTTTCATGCCATATGAGATATTTGCTTAATTACATTCCATTGTAACTTTAATTTGCTCTTATGCTTGTATAAAAGCATTAAGTAGTCATGTGACTAGCTGGTTGAGTTTAGATGGGACTTGCAATCAACAGGCCCTTGGGACTAGGTATTCAGCCATCAGTGATATATTACAGATCAAAAAGGTTTGCATCTAAAAACAAGCATGCTACTTTTTTTTGTTCAACCTATTCTTAATACTAGCTCTTAACTTAGTTCCGTAGTTCATGTCCCTTTATACTTCCTTTGGACCACCTGACATTTGATTACTCAAGTATGAAACTACAAGACCACCAAAAAAAAAAAATTAAGGGAAAAAAATCAGCCACCGGTGACCATTTTAATCATCATTGGCTTGATAGATATTCCAGAAATCAGCAATCAGAATTATTAGACTGTCACTCTCTCCTCGCTAAATTTATATAAACCAAACTCTGTAATGACTTGGAACTTGGAAGAAAGCAGGTATTAAAGACCTACTTCGTTGTCCAATTCTCTCATAAATTGTATGAATCTATCAAGTTGGAGACGTTCCTTTCCATCTTTTCCAAAGAAGTATTCCACCAACCCTCCATTTTCTACAGAATCATTGCACTTGAGGCGAGTTTGCTGCCTACCCCTGCAGTAAGCACCTTGCCTATTATGAGATCGCATCAATGCCATCACTTTCTTGAATTCCTCCTTATCTATCTCCCTGTAGAAAAAGAAACATTACCATAGCACTAAATTTGCTGCCAATGAAAAAAGACAGCAATGTCCTCATGCTCAGCTGATAGTAAAATCAGAATCAGAATACAGGGTGATGCTCAAGGAAGCTGTACAGGTTTTGGAGCAAGAAATAAATCATCATAATAAACATTAGAATAAGGCTACTAACATATCACACCAACTAAGTTATATACACTATACAATATATATTCAAATTAGGATGAACACTGACCCATTATTGTCTATGTCAAACATTTTAAATGCCACTGAGAAGCTTGACTCTGGGATGCTGAGTAGAGTTACAAAAAAGATATACCTGTTTGAGAAACATAAGGGCATTTATAATTTTATAACAAAAACATAGGAAAAATGAGAAAGACGAGGAGGGGGGGACTAAAATGCATACACTAAAAAACACTCACTCCTTAAAAGATATAAGCCCGTCATTGTTTACATCAAAAAGCATAAAAAAATCTGAAGGAGGACAGAGTAACTGGCCAGGACTTCTTTCTCCTCTCAAGTATCCCTCTCTGACAAGTTTGGATTCGGATGGAGGGAAGACAGGCACGACTGCTCGCATTAGGTCAGCTGGTTTCATGAGTAATTCTCCTTCTGGTGTGCGATAAGATGCAAAGTACTCAAAAACCTTAATACAAACAGTAGAGATAGGAAATGAAGTGAGCATTCATCAGAAAGTAAAATCTTAATTAATTAGGGTAACCTCTGAATCAACCTGAAGTAAACAAACGGAGATATGACCGTGTGTTCAGAGACCATGTTGAGATGTAGAATAAATCAGAAAGATCATAAGTTCGCTTGAAGTTTAAAGTCAAAATAATAATAGTAGTAGTAGTAGTAGAATAAATCAAAACGATCATGAGTTCGCTTGAAGTCTAAAGTCAAAATAATAATAATAATAATAATAATAATAATAGCAGCAGCAGCAGCTGCCGCGGCGGGGGCGGTGGCAGGCGGCGGCAACAGTAGCAGTAGTTAGGAGAAGAATTACATGATCCACAGTTCGAAACACCTTTTGGATTCCACTGAGTCAGTGGGAAAGTTAAAAAAGGCAGAACAACGTGGGGCTAAAGAACTTTTTAGTTTTTATAGTCTTCTCAGAGCGATAAGGGATACCCAGTTTACATATTCTCAGAAAATAATACTGGCTAGGCAAATTACAATGAGCTGGCTATATGCAAGCTTTTAAAAGAAAAAAAAAACGAAAGATTTGCAGTGTTATGATTTCATTGAATAGGCACAGGATGATATGCTTGGATAGCACATAACACCTTTTCCGGAGGACTTCGCAACCGAATGCGCTTCTCATAATTGAAGAAAACCTTTCTTCTGAATGCATCTGCAAGAAACATGTTTTTTTTATTGTAAGGCTGTGCAAGCATGAACCGAAATGGCTAAAAAACCGAACCTTAATGTACTTTTCACCAAAATTTGATCCGCTGCAGCAAGTAACTTGAGGATAAAAAGATGAAGATCAGACTGCGGTCCGAAAATTTACAGATACTTGCCTCCAAATAGCAAGCGATCAGTCCTTTCCGGCAAGGATAATTTTCTTAACAGTGAGCGTGTTCTATGCCATCCAGCATTAGCATCGCTGTCGGTCCTCGCCGTCGAACCGTCCGCGTAAGCCAATGATCTCCTTAGGAAATCAGAATCGAACCCGAAATTGGGGGCAGAAAACCAACATAGAATCCCAAGAGTCGAGCCAGATACAATGGCCGAAACCCACTTCAAGAGGAACCAAGAAGCCGGAACGTGTTGCTGATCAGAGCCATGGTTGCATGTATTGATCAGCAAGGGTAAAGATGAAGAGGAAGGATTAGAAGATGGCGCGGTTGAAGACAGGCGGGTAAGCGGCCTTTGGATTAGGATTTGTCGGGCAGACAGAGAGGAAGTCCGAAGAGAGGAGAAGGAAGGCATGCCGTGTTGTGTTGTCAATAATTACGATAGGCAAGAAAGGGAAAACGCCAGGCGAGGAAAATGCAGATGGGAGTGCGGGGGAGGATAAGGAGGTGGGGTTCGGTGTAGGGAATCATAGAGTAACGACGTCGTTGCAGTGCACAAAACTGAAGCGGGCGAGCCAGCCAGCCTTAATCGAGTGAACGGTTGGCAAATTTAGCGGCCCAAAGCCCCAAACTATTGAAAAATTGGTACCAATTGGCAGCACCCAATGAGATTTTGGTCGTGCTCAAAAAAAGGGAAGAGTTAATTGATCCTTTTGGCCAATCATCCTATTGAAAAAAAAAAAACATGAATTCATTAGCTTTGATGATCTAAGCAGGCGCTGTTTGGTGATTGATTTTGAAGATGTGGTGGGAACATGAATTGAAAATTAAGATGGGCAGGGTGATTTATTGGGCATTGGATTGTGTCTAAGAGTGGGGAGCGTCCACTAAATGAGGCGACGTGGTGAAGGGGTAACGTGTCCATTCTCCTATTATTTCCTTTTACTCGTGTGATCATGCCTTCAACTTGACAACCATTTCAATTTGTAGCCATGTGCTTCTCATTTAAATAATTCAACCTACCCTTTATGCGGTTCTTTAATGCTATGTTCTATATGTTGTTGACAAGGAGATGATTTAACAAAAAGGAAGGGAGATGAAGAGAGGAGAGGGAGAAATCCCTTCCAGTCCCCTCATTTTTGAAGGGAGGGGAAGGTCCTCTATCTTTTTGCCAAGCAAGAAGAGGGAGAGCCTCTTCCCTCTACTTGTTTGGCAAAAAAAATGAGAGTAAAAATTTTAACCCTCTAACTAAATAGATGTTAGAGTTTATAATTTTAGATTCAAGTTAATTTCATTTAAAAACAACCACATCTCCCAAGCCTTCAATCTTGAGAGGTTGTAATACAACTACAACTATCAATGATAGCTTGACATGACATGGCCTCATAGAACCATAATTATGGCAAGACCAATCACACTTTGAAAAAAAAAAGTGAGACATGAACAAAAATATATGATAAGGAGAGAAAAAACACACAAAGATTAGAATAGCAAAAATTGTAATTTTTAGTCATTTAACCTTGTAAAAAACATTTGATAAAAAACAACAAAGAGGACAAGGGAACGTAGAGAATAAAAGGAGGAGGGAGAGAGAAAGAAGAAAGATAAATGTTAAAACTCTCAAGAGCTCTTATTCAATAATAAATAAAGGTTAGAGTTTTTAGCTTTAAATTCAAGTTAATTTCATTTGAAAACCACCACACCTCTCAAGTCTCTAGTTTATAGAGATTGCAATACAACTACAACTATCAATTATAGCCTAACATGACTTGGCCTCCTAGAACCATAATTATGACAAGACCAATCATGTTAAAAAAAAAAGTGAGATGTGAACAAAAACACATGATAAATAGAAAAAAAAACACACCAAGATGATAAAAACAAAAATTGTAATGTTTAGTCATTTAACCTTATAAATAATATTTGATATGAAACAAGAAAGAGGAGAGGGGAATAGAGAGAATAGAAGGAGAAAGGAGAGAGAAAGAAGAAAGAGAAAGACTGAAACTTTTATATATTCTTATTCAATAATACTCAAAATTAAATGCAAATGAAAAAAACCTAATTTTATTTATAGAGATCTAAAAATAATAACAATAATTTAAATTCAAGTTCTATATCCTAAATGAAAATCAAATATTAGAGATATTGATATCAAATATCACAATTAATAAATAATCAAAGTTAATCTAATAGATTAATATCCTTATTTAAATATCTCTATTAGATAACCCTAATATTCTAAATCAAATCTAACTATATTTTATTCCATATTACACAATTTCTCTCCTGCTTGAAGAACTCGGCTCCCGATGAATTAAAATTAAGGCACAAATTTGAAAAGGGGAGGGTAAGATAAATTTTAGAGGGGTGTTTGAATTTGAAAACCCTTTTCAATAGATGAAAAATTAAAAAAGCAAGCCCTAACAACGGCAAGCAGCTAGACATAGGTGATCATCCAAGAATCTCTTCTAACAAGTTAGGTAGCAAAAGAACAAACTTTGACGAGAGTGAATAATTTAACCATACAGTATCTCTAGAAAACCTTTTCAATAGATGAAGTATTGCTGGATTTTATCATTAAACAATAAATTGACCTTGGGAGATGTATGCTACAGACAAGGGACATCTGTAACATGATGAGATTGATTCTTGCTGTGAACAATTTGGGAATGAGCTATTTGTATTAGTGTATAATGGACAACTTGATCATTGTTTAGAGAATCTTCCAGTAGCAAGAAAGGAGCTTCTGCTATTATTGATTTGCTTGATGCTTGTTATTCCATTTGTTTCCTCAATTTATCAATCATCCTTTTAATCTCATATGTTGACTTCTTAACTTCACTATGATCCCTCTTAAACTTGTCAAAATAATAATTATGTTCTTGCTGAAAACAATCCAATTTAACTATAATTTGATATATGTCCTCTTAAAAGTTAGCATGTTCATAATGGCGACAGGTGCCATCTCATATTAATAAACACAATCACGTTGATGATTATTAAGATGTTCATTATTGTTGTTGCTTGATGTACATATGCTGGTATTGGTCTTCATATTGTTTATGATTAACACACTCTGATTGGAGATAGTGACACTTGTGATTATCACAATAAAAGTGCGTGTGTGTGTGTGTGTTGTAGCTTATATTGGCAATTAAACACCATAACATTTTTTTTCTTTTCTTCCTTCTTTTTCATTTTCTATTTTTTCCCTTCTTTTTAAGAATACAAAAATTTATATCAATAAAAATGAAAAAGTACTCAAAATGCAACAAACGCATGAAGAAATTACAAACCTTCAAGATTCAACAGTGAGCAAACTTGTGAAAAGTGATGAAGTCACTATAGTCAGTAGCATTGAATAGTGAGTTTATTATACCTTATTTGGATCTCTAAATTTTAATGAAAGAGTTATACTTTTTAAGTGAAATTGGCAACAAAAGTGTGAGAGAAACCTAACTTTGGAACCAAATTGGCATAAAATGGGAAGAAGAGAGGGGAACAAAGAGAAGAAAAGCAGGGAGAGAGAAAGAAAAAGAAAAAGGGCTGAGCCCCTAAAAAATTTTTATTCAATAATATTTAAAGTTAAATATAAATAAAAAACTTAACTTTATTAATAAAAATCTAAAATAATAATAATAATTTAAATTTAAATTCTAGATCTTAAATCAAGATCAAATATTAAAGATATTGATATCAAATATAACAATAAATAAATAATCAAAACCAATCTAATAAATCAATATCTTCATTTAAATATATCTATTAGATAATTCTAATATTTTAAATTAAATTTAATTATATTTTATTTCATACTACACTAATATTATTTTGATTCCTTAATTTTATGAAGTATTCTTGATAATAATATTGTTATTTTTATTAAAAAAATTGTCGACATTAACTTTTTAAACGCTGACAAACAAACTCAAGTGCTAATGTATTAATTTTAATTTTTTTTCAAATAATATGATTGGCATAAAAATAACCCTTGAAAATTAATTAGAATTGAGAAATTAAAAAGATATTTTACAAAATAAAAAAATCTCATTTTACCTGCTATATTTATTAAATTAGATCATTATGTAAATTCAATATTCTTCATTATAAAATGCATTAATAATTGAGACCAAAAGTAAAAAAAATAATATTCATTTTTACGGAAACAAAAATTTCATTATATATAATTTTTTTTTAAAATCTATTTATATTTTATAACAGAGAGTATAGTTTTATGTATATTTTTTTTTCAATTAATGACTTATTTTTTCTCAACTTCTAATAACTTTTATTCACATGATTTTTGTCCGAGAGATACTTTATATATTTTGCACTTGAGATTGAGGACAAATCAGCCATGTTCCTCTAAATTAATTTCGAAGTATCAGCAGCTTCATCATTCTAGAGGTCTCGGTCATTTCACGAATGACGACATTCTGACGCCACTTCTTCACTATCTGACCAAAACCAAAAGTGTCTATGCCTGCAACGTGGAGCGGCACATTTCGAGGCTGTTTGGATAGGCTTCCTTAATTAATTAAATGTAAAAAATATTCAAACACTTCATTTTTACATAATTAATTATCTTAATTCAAATCATGTTTGGGCTTGAGCTACAATGAATGGTTAGTAGTTTGTGCGCGTTGAAGTAGAGCAATTTGTCTGAATTTTTTAATTTGTCAATAAGACTCTCGAGTGCAATGTATTTGTTTCTGTCAATCACTTCTCTTCTCTCCATGACTTCTTTACATTTTTTTTAACTTACAGTGAAGATACAGAACAAGAAGTTACTGGTTAACATAGAAAAGATACTCATCCAACGTACTAGTTTGCTCTCTCTCTCTCTCTACCTCTCTCTCTCACACACACACACAGTTTGTTTACAAAACATTTCGGAGATCATTAATCATTATAAACTTGGATATTTTTAATTGCATACTTTTCTTTTATTAAAACTTTTTAAATTGTGAACTGATTTATTTTTATATAAATTAAAATATTAATATTACAATATAATATAATTTAAACCAGTGTCTTTTATTGTAATTTAAATCTCTAAAATTAATTGCAATCAAACTATTCAAACATCTTCAATTTTATTAAAATTAATTTAAAAAATTAATATTCAAACATGATCCTATTATACCACAATTAATTATAATTAAAATTAATCACATCAATCAACCAGAATCCAAACAAGTCCTTCCTAGTTTCTCCATCTTTCATTCCTTTCGGATTTCGGTTTCAGTGGCTCCTATCGCCTTCTTTCCTCCTCCTCCCTTTTAATTTATTTCCTCATTAGTTAAACACGTTGTTATGAATTACGCAAAATATAAAATAATGAATTGAGATTTATAAATTATATTAAAATTTTTGTTATAAATCACGTTCTTATAGTAAATTTAAAATACGTTATTTTTATTCTAGAAAATTATATTTCCCACCGCTGAACTGAAAGATAGTCACATTACAATAATATATTTTTTTTCAATAAACGCACCACTTGCTCAAATTCTTTTGTTTATCATCTTTGTCATCTGTTGAACTCTCTCCATTCCCTCGTATTTTCGTTAGAACTTGAGTTTTCACCTGGCAAGGGGCACCATGGCACCATGGATTTTTTGATATTGATGGTAAATGTTTCGGGTAAGAATTTACTACCATGTTTTATATAAAACTGAAAAACTAATGTCATCTTACGGAGGTACCCCCAATTCAGCTGATTTGGTAAGTTTTCCAATATCTACCGCCAACCACACTGGAATAAGAGAAATAGAGCATTATTTATGACATCATAATTTTTTATTTATGTTCATAATGACACTTTGATTTTTGGAATTCAAACTCTTTCCTTTTGTTTTTCCCAGCGAATTTAAACTCTTTCCAAATTCTCTGTTTTTTTTTTTTTAAACTCCAGCATATATAAGACGGATGCAACCCAGCATCTACAAGGGGCATTTTCAAATAACGTTCTTTAACGATGATGGGTCACAATCCACTTGGGCAGCTAGCTGGCTTTGTCTCGCCAATAATTAATAACATCCTTAATTACTTCAAGGGACCGATTCTTCAAAGTTCAAACTTGCAGCTGTCATTTTAATTTCCTGATTTCTCTTCCATTCTGGCAGAAGCCCCCACCCCATTCCTTCCTTCTTAGGCTATTATTATTATTATTTTTTTTTATAAAATCCTTCTTAGGCTATGCTTTAATATGGATTATTTCTTACACATTTTTCTTTTTGGGTAGAGTAAGAGGCCCAAAGGCTTAAGATGACTTGTTTCTTACATATTTTAAGATGAAGTTTCAGTTCATTTTTTTTTTTTAACTGTGAAAATTTCATTCTTAAAAAAAGGTAATTCTCAATTCCCATACAGGGAATAGGGTCATTTTGTCATCTCAATTTTCCCCCACTCAGCTCCGTGACCTAGACGCAGACACGCAGCCGGAGTCCCTTCACAAAGCCGCATCTGCAATCTGCAAGGCCAAGCTGCACAACAAACCCGCAATAAACAAATTAAATAAATCGAAGTAAAAAAATAAAAGAAAAGAAAATGATATACCAACATACAGAAGAAAGAGGGAAAATATATTTATCAAAGAGAAAAGGGAAGAAACAGGTAAAAGTATATACCTAGCACCAAACGCAACGCAAACCAACCTGACGAGGCTTAACGGAGTCAACGGCGGCACAGGTTACGGAACCACCCCGTGGGTCAGGACTTACGAACGACGGAACCGTTCAAACGAAACGAGGCCCGTGACGACAAGCATAACAGATCCACACCGCTGCATAGAACGGGATGGTTTGCGCAGTTAGTCGGTACCGTTTCACAGTTAAGCAATCTTTTAACATCATAGTTTTAGTTTTTAATAGGATCGGATTATCATCCGAGTTTAGCCTGTGACGTAATTTGATGTATTGAGATTTAATTTTTTCGGTGAAAAGTAATGTCCCCAAGACCCAAACTCTCCTTCCTTAGCAAATGGCATGTACAATAAGGAATTCTCCGGATCCAGTCTCATAGATCCGTGCCGGAATCTTTCATGGTTCTCTGTGACAATCCTACATCGGCTCCCGTCACCACTGGTGTGCTACACTTCACGCCTATTGACCCACAACGACTCCAGACGACGCAATCAAAACTCGCCGGAGATGACACGCAACAAGCCCTCGCGATCTAAAAGCCTCGCCACATCCTGGCTCAGATCGCGTATCGCGAAGCCAGAAAATACCACAGCCCTGGCAAGACAAGGAAGAACCTGTGAAGAAAAAGAATCAGAGATCCTCAGCCTTGGACATTATTGAGAGGCGACTCGGTCGGGGCTCAAACGCCGCTCTCCTCCTCTGCTGATGTGATGAAGGCCGGATCAGAGCGGTCAGCGCCCTTTTGACCCACTCGCCTTCCACGCCTCCAATTCTCACAAGAGAGTTCTTCATCGCTGATCGGCGCATATTTAGCCGATTAGACGGGTACGAATCCGCGTGATGGTTCCCACTATTGCTGGCGATGCTCTTGTGAAGACTGCATCGAAACGAACCGGGATGGGTTGTCGGCGAGCACATGCAGGTTTTCTTCTGGGCCGAGATGGGGTTATTCTTCTTAGAGATGACGTGACTGGAGAAAGATCGGTTGGGAGAGATGGAACGATGATCAATTGAGAATCGAACAGCGGGCGACGGAGAGGAAGGCGTATAAAGATTGACCCGAGTAGGAGAAGCCGATCGATTTTGGGCGTGATGCTTATGACGATGGGCTTGACTGAAAAAGGTGGAAGATGGGGATGAAAAGCTAGAGCTAGAAGACGAAGCAAAAGCCGATGAAGGGGAAGAAAAACGTGAGTTAGACGTGGAATATGAGCAAAATCTGCTCGAAGGCGAGACCGAGCGGAGCACCGGTCCGCTTGATTTGGTTCTCGAAGATGTAGCCATTGATAGTAGGAGAAGAAGACGGAGAGAAGGTGGGGACAGAGAAGGAAAAGGAAAGAGGGATTTGTTTTTCTTCTTCCTCAAAGGACCCCCTTGGGGAGTTGGTTTGGCAAACCTAGCGAGTTTCGGAGGCCGTTTTTATAGATGGTTGCAGGCGAGGGCTAGAAGGGAATTAGGGCAACGGCGAGGGCAAGGGTGTTCTGGCCTTCTGGACCCACTGGAAGAATTGGGTTGGTTAACTCAACCATGGTTGACTGAGGGTTAGAGTTAGGTTAAATGAGGTGGGGTTTTGGGTTAGGATTCTAATCCAACGGCTGGTGTGAGGTGGACCATTGAACGCGATGAAAAGCTGGACGGGTTTCGTCTCGCTCAAACAGCTTTTATGGGCAAACGCAAAGGCGTGCCACGTATAATAAATTTGGGAAACGGTCTTATGTGAGTGTCCGGGAAAACCACCTGTTTGTCGGTTATGATTGACAGCGTGCCATTCAACTTCCCAAAGGTTTCGCTCTATGATCTTTATTGGAAATACCCTGGTGCCGCTTCCACACCGGTTTGTGGCCTGTCGTTATTTTTTACCTATAAAAGCCAAATTCTCTCCCTCTCTTGTCAGCATACTGAAAATCTAAATGCATTACAACCTATTATTTAGATTAATATGAACCTCTGCTGATTCAATTCTCTTTGCTAGTTGAATCAAACCCTCTCAATCCAAATATTCACTCTTAAATTATTAGTATTTACAAATAGACTCTAACCTACTCCCTCCTCTCCAATATATAAAATAATTTTGACTATAATTCAAATATCAATAAAATTCAGTTATATTCTTGTTTTTAATTATAAATATCATAAGTTTTTTTTACCTTTTTTAAATAATATTTTTAATAAAATACTATAATATAAAAAAGCATGAACCTCCGTACAAATTAATAAAGTTTTAACTATTATGAAAGGGTGAGAAAAATACAATAAATATCAATAGGGTTACATGACAAACTAAATTAATAAATATAAAGGTAAAATAGAAATAAAATTTCAAAACCTACTAATTATCTTATATTTTAAATCAAAATAAGCCAAAAAAATATTTTATAATTTAAATGGGAGGAAGTAAAATGTTGTAAAAAAGTAATATCATCATGTAGACATTGAACATTAAACTGCTTTCTAAGGGGATGATTAACATTTATATTTAGGCCTTATTTGGTACGTTTGAATTTGGAACATGGAATTGTGCATGTGAAATTAGGAAAGATGCTTTTTTGGTATATATAAATTTGGATCCTATGTGAAATTGAATTTCACCAAACATAGTTTCACGAGGGGGGCCATAAAAATGAGATGAGTTTCGTGTATTGTACTGACAAATTTGCTTCTCCTATTTTTGACAACCACACCTAGATCTTCAACATCCCCACACACCATTGTTTTTCGCCAGCAGTGATCCCAACGCCATCGATGAAGAAGCCGTAGAAGATTTGCAACAGTGATGAGGTCGGAGAATGATGACGACAGTAAGACCTCCTCTTCCACCATTCCTTCTTATCTTTCAGCAAGCCACTGATTTTGATAGCTAAGTCTCGAAGGCGCTGGAGTTGCTCTGTGATCACTCCCCTGTCACATCATACATCAACCCTCCGCTCGCCGTATTTATTCACTGCTCCAAGCACCTGTTGTTTTAACTCCCTTGGTTTTTTTTTTTTTTTTGCTTTCATTTAAGTGACCAATTTTATTGAATATTTTGACACCATTTCATATTTATTTGCAATCTTCTCCTTGTGTTTTTCTTCATATTCCCGATATGCAACACGAGGCTAGAGCTGGCTTCGACCTCGACTCACTCTTTATATAGGTTTGATCTTGTCTCCCCCTGCCCTTAATCTTCTGCCCGTATTGTAAATTGATTGGTGGGCTGTAATATACTCTTATTTTTTTATTCAAACTTGATTTCATTTTTAACCCCAAGGTGCGTATGTAGAGCCAGTAATTTGGGTCAAGCCCGACGGACTAGCCCGAATTGGCCCGAAAAATTTTAGGGCCGGGCTTAGAAAAAAAATATTTTTTATGTTCGGGCCTATTCGGGCCGGCCCGAATACCCGAATAAAAAATTATATTTTTAAAAAAAATATATAATATAATAAATATTAATTAATTTTTTAAGTTTTAAATCATTTTATACTAAAATACCATATATTTGAACCCTAAACATCATTTAAGTATTAAAAAATATATTTTATATTTTTTTATAAAATAAAATAATTAATTTCAAAGTAAAAAATAATTAAAAATAATTTTAAAAATTAAATTCGGGTATTCGGGCCGCCTAAGGCCCGAAGGAATTCAGGCCGAGCTTGGCTATTCGGGTTTTTCGAGAAAGCGGGCTTATTCGGGTTCGGGCTTATTTGGGCCGAACCCGAATAAGTCTGGCCTACCCGAAATTCCCAGCTCTATGCGTATGGGTTTTGGGTTGCTAGCTCTGATGCATGCTTGATTTATGGGTTCAAGCTTGATGGTTAGATAATGGCATGCACTAGAATGAGATTTATGGGTTCAGCTTACTGGTGTTTTGCAATGATCTGGGTTTGCTGATGCTTCTTCTTCTTCTTCTTCTTTTCTGCTAGGGATTTTGGGTGTTTTTAGAGCAAGGATATTTTGGTATTTTAATATTATAAATATATGCTAGACATATTTTTAAACCTCACCATCTTCACTTCAGTATCCATTTTCATTTCCATTAAAATCTTTTTTATTATACCAAATGGCCCTTAATTAAATAGATAAATAGATTGTTTCGTGATTATATAATTTATTTTTGATCAAGCTGTTAGCCTACCATATTCTTTGCACCGACTAAAAAAAAGCTGTTCTTTATTGAAGGGAAAATTGCACCTATTATGCGTAAAAAATACTATCAAACAGGGAGGCTCTGACTTTCTTGATGCGCGGCAGCATTTGATAATGGGCTCAAGGAGTGTAAGGCGGGGCGTTTTATGATCGTGATCACTGATTAGTGTCCAAATAAAGTGCGGCCACTGAACTTGGCCCAAGAAAAAAAACCAAGAATGAAAAAAAAAGTCAATGCATCCATTTTCTTTGGAATTGTGATTAGGTTATTAAATGGTATAATGACTAAATTAAACATAAATTTTCTAGACTCTAGGTCACGTAAAAACAGTTTTTTGATGTTTAGAATTTGACAATAAGTTATCATAAATTTTAAGTCATAAAGAATTGCAAATATAGTGAATTTGTCTGGTATTTGATTTTTTTTAAATACGTGACACAGCAATTTAACTATTTTCATAGGACTATGAGTAAGGTTGGGTGGGACATCATCCCCACCTGGTGTAAAGTTTTCAAGCGTTTGAGCTTAGCTTGTCAGGTTGAAAAAATTTTGAGTATTTTTTTTAAATATATAAAAAATTGGTTTTTAAAGAATATAATTATTATCATTTAAATTATAGTCTTTATAAAATTATTATTATAATCAAAAATATTTTTTAAAACAAATTGCGTAAGATCAACCAATGTCAATTTTTATATAGTATTACGTTGAAAATAAATTTTGAATTTTGAAAAAGATTAAAAAAATTATAATGAGAAGAGATGTCCAAAAGGACCATGAAAATAATACAATTCAGCATAACATTCAACCAAAAACAATATAATTAAATAAATATTATTAAAGAAAACAAAATAAATAAACAAAAATAACATATGTTCGAGTTGGATTTGATCCTGGCCCAATGAGTTTGAATAGCTTAGGCAACAAGGCATACTAGATCGCTTGAGCAACCCTAAGATTAGAATCAATAATTTGGGTCAAGTCCAACAGGTTAGCTTGAACCTGTCCTAAAAAAATTAGGGTCGAATTTAAAAAAATAATATTTTTATATTCAGACCTATTCAGATTAGGCATGAGAAAATTTGGATTAAGCTTGATTAGATTCGGGCTTGGCCCAAATACCTGAATAATTTTTTTTATTTTTACAAAATATATAAAAAATAATAAATGTTAATTAATTATTTAAGTTTTAAGTCATTTTATACTAAAAAATTATATATTTAAGTCTTATACATCATTTAAGTATCAATTTTTTTTATTTTTTTTGAAAATAAAATCATTAATTTTAAAATTAAAAATAATAAGTAAAAATGATTTTAAAAATAAAATTCAAGTATTCGGGTCGGACTTAATTATTCAGGCTTCTAAAGAGGTAGGCCTAATCGGATTCGGGCTTGTTCGAATCTGACCAAGCTTAGGTAAGCCCAGCCCGTTTGAATTTTTAACTCTGCCTAAGATGCAGTTTCGAATGCAAGAAAGGTTTGTGTGATTTAACGCAATCTCAATTAAAACATCATCGTCAATCAATATAACAAATAAAATTTGTAAGCAACTGTACAACTTGACATTGCATTTGAAGAATACGTATTCTAAATAGTGAGAGCTGTTTTAACAAAAATGGGATTAGAATTTTAATTCATGGACTTTATGTGAAGGAATAAAAAAATTAAATCATGTTAGATTTAATGAGAGATTTGAAATTTGAAGGCAAATGATTAAAGATAACAATATCAAAATTATTTTGAAAAATTTGGCAAGCAAATATGTCAAGTCATCAATTCGAAGAGCGTTCTCACAGGGAAGGACCTCATGCGTGTCTTGGAGACCAATTCAAGTTAATGTGACTTGCGTGATTGTTGGACTGCTTAAAGTAGGCGGGTCGTCCTGCAATTATTGAAACTTCGCAGCTGTTTGCCATCGGACCGGCCTCCAATCTCACAAAGGGACGACAACTAAAAATCTGATTTCACTGAGACACGCATAATTAAGGCAGCATGCGATTCATGTCAGCCTTGGATTGCTTGACTTTCATTGTCAATGGATTCAATGCTTCCGATGGATCAGCCCCACAAATAAACAAACTATATACTTTTTTGACTCCCATGATTATTGTAATACATTTTTAATTACATCACCGTAATTAATCAGAGCTTGTTAAATCATTAATCTTATTTTTTGGGCCAACTCAACCGTAGTGATCAATGATAATATCACAAACCCCTGAACCACATTTCTTTAATCATGCTATAACATTATCATTAGAAAATAATATTATATTATACTTGTTTTATTAACTCTCTATTGCTATGACGTTTTAAATGCTTATCTATTGCAGTGCCTAATATTTTTGGAATCCATGCTTCTTCCCACGGTGCTGTTATTGGCCCCAGATTCTCTCCATTTTTCTTCCTTTTTATTTTCTTGTTATTTTTCATCTCAACTATTAAATTTATTTTTAAATGATTGAGTAATAATTTTATAAAATATTAAATTTCAATTATTTAAAAATAAATTTAATAATTGAGTAGAAAGTGGAGAGAAAATAGAGAAGAAAGAAAATGAAGAGAAGCTAAATCTATTGTTACTACCTCAGAGATTCAGATCATGCCTACATATGCAGAGTACTACATATTGTTTTCACCTGTAAAAAACCTAAGTATATCGTTATCTCCCAAAATATAAATTTCCACGAGGAAAATTTAACAAAGTTTATCACCGGAAGCCTTTGATAGATTTTTTTTTTTTTTTTTTTTGGGTGGAGTTTTGATAGATATCCTAAAATTTACGTGTTAAGTTGTCACTAGTCGCCAGCAATCACAGGGAATGAAAAAGGGGTAACTTCGTAATACCATGTATTGCCTAACCTAATAAAGCTCCAGACCAGCCGCTATCCCCTCGGTTGCTCGGAGCTTGGATTAGGGTTTTTGAGGGCGGCGTTCCGTGTTTTAGTGCGGCTCGTATCAGTCATCTTGAACCCATAACAATGGCGGAACAGGTTTGGACCTCCCTGTCGAACTTTTACTTCCATAAGTGATTGTTTCACACGCTTATAAAGGGTAATCTTGTTGCGTGCTTTACAGACCGAGAAGGCCTTCTTGAAGCAACCCAAAGTGTTTCTCTGGTAAGATTATCTCTTTTGCATTCAGTTTTTTTAACTCCTTATCTTGCATCATTCATATATCAAATCGTTTCCCTGCTTCTATGTACAAATTTAAGCATTTTTCATATTACTGGATCTGTTGGTTGAGGCTGAGCTGCTTCCTTTTTCTATCAATCCTCACACCCGTGCTGCAAATATTTGCAGTTCGAAGAAACCCGGAAAGGGCAAGAGGCCTGGAAAAGGAGGGAACAGATTCTGGAAAAGCATCGGGTTGGGTTTCAAGACCCCCAGAGAAGCCATTGAAGGTTCTGCTCCTTACATTTTAGACGTAACGTGATATGCTCAAAGTAAATATCCGGAGGGTTTTTTATGTTAAAATGGCTCCAATCTCTGGTCGATATCAGGGTATTCTGGGTGATATTATATTTAAAATTTTCCCACTAGATTAAGTTTCCTGGGCTGATTATAATTTCATCTGTTGTTGGCTTTATCACAGATGCTGAATTTGTGATTTCTATTTTTCCAGTTTTACTTAAAATCATTTTCCATGTCGCCTTTATTTTGCATCTGCAAGCTTGGTGTAATTGGCATATGGGAAGTGGCCAGTGGGTATCGAGGGGCAGAAATAAGGTTAAAACTTGACTTGTATTTTGGCTGACTCGTAAATTTTCAGTTTATGGAATATAAAAATTAAATAGCTATATACTTCAATGTGTGTTTTTTTTAATAATTTGTCATGAAAATGACAATTATTTTTTTTGTACATTAGCTTCAATTTTGGTTTGAAAATCCACTAATAAATGGATATTTAGCTCTCTAGCCTCCACACATCATTCTTTTAGCATTGAATTATTGCAACAAGATGAGATAAAACTTTGATTTGTGTGATTAAGTGTTCTTAATACTGAAAGGCATGATTTGTCTGTTCAGGGGCTTACATTGATAAAAAATGCCCATTCACTGGTACTGTGTCCATCCGGGGCCGTATACTTGCTGGTACTTGCCATAGTGCCAAGATGACAAGGACTATCATTGTTCGCCGCAACTACCTTCATTTTGTGAAAAAATACCAAAGGCAAGGCTCATTTAACACAGCAACTAGAGTTTTGTTTTTCTCTTTTCTTTTTTAAAATTTTTCCTAGTTAGCTTACCGGAAGGTTTGATTCTCACAGGTATGAAAAAAGACACTCAAACATTGCAGCACATATATCACCATGTTTTCGTGTGAAGGAGGGTGACCATGTTATCATTGGGCAGTGCAGGTTTGTATATGACTCTTGATCCTATTACATTTTTGCTTTTTGTTGTCTCCGCCGCCTGTCTGGCCAACTATTACGTAGTATCTAGAAATGCCGTGTTTGCTGTTGCTTGTTTCTCTTTTGATATTACTCTTTTGTCTTGACAGGCCTCTTTCAAAGACTGTAAGGTTTAATGTGCTGAAAGTGATTCCAGCTGGGTCTTCTGGAGGTGTGAAGAAGGCTTTTACTGGAGCGTAGTCCTTAAGTTTGTGTGCTGTTAATGGGTGTTGTTAGCTATAGCAGCTTTTGACATACAACATTCACATCCACCCGTAAGTTGCTTCGATGGGAAAATTTTTTGTATTAGCTTTGCTTTAGTTGATGTTCTGATTTTGTTACCTGTGCTATTTTGTCGTATATGGATCGCAAGTGTTCTTAAATGATTCTGATCTCAACTGTCGGCTAGAACTGGGAATAAGGGCTGGACTTGGAGGGCCGGGCTTGGAGGTCCTGTTTAAATAAGGGTTCAGGCTTTGAAAATAATTTTTTTTAAACTAATCGGGTTTGAGGGCTTGGTCATGATAAATCCTGTGAAAAAGGGATCGGGTTCGGGTAGCCCTTCAAGCCTTGTTATATTATTATTATTTTTATTTTCTTTGGTTGAACACATATTTAAAGCTAATGACCCTCTCACTTGATCTTACATGTATTATATTATTATTAATTTTAATTTATTCTAATATTAATTTAATATAATTTAATAAATATCAGCGTATAGTGTAAAAATCTTGATATTTTTATTTTTTATAATTATTATGTTTGTGTATTTATAAAAAATGAATTGTTCTTTAATTAAGATTTAAATTTTATTACTAAACTTTTAAATGTGTGTTGTTTAATTTTTAAAAAATTATGAGGATTTTACTTTTTTTAATTTTAGAATATTTTAATTATTTTATAATATTTAATTTTAATTTTATATTTTGAAAAAGGGCTTGTGGGCTTGGCCCTGAGCCATTCACATTAAGGCCGGGCTTGAGAAATGGAGTTTAAAATAGGAAATCGGGTTTTAGGGTTCAAGCCCATAAGGGCCAAGCCTGCCCATATTTTCAGCTCTACTGTTGGCACTTATTATTATTATTATTATTTCCGCCTTGCCTTGTTCCTTTCTGTTAGATTTTCATATGTTTTTAAGGTGATATTTGCCACCATCGAGGGAAAATAATAGTATATTCATTCTGAATGGAAATTTTGCTATGGAAGTTTGATTTTTTGATCCCCCCCTTTTGCTCTTCATGTTCGGCATTGCCGCATAGCGCTTCATGGATGATGGAGTCATATAGACATCTCGTGATAATGTCTGCAAAATGCTTATGGGAAGCTTGACATTGAACAAGTCACTTAATCGATGGAAGTTGGAGTTGACTTCCTTTCCCTTTCTCGTATTGATGAGTTCTAATGTAGAGGATATATAATCTACAGCCATGCTTCAACACAGCTTCTCTTGTGTTTATTTCAAAAGCATAAGCTTAATCCTTTCGATGTTATTGGGTAAATTCCTAATATACATTTGCCAAATATTTTCAAAATTCATCACAACACATTTTACCGGTCGATCTTACTCTTTTACTATCATTTATAAGTTGTTTACAACGCCGTGCTGCAGCTTTTAGAAGTTCACAGTATCTAGTCATCTACATATATAGAAAACTAGCCACAAGCTACACGGGTTAGCCAATTCAAAAGATACAAATTTAAGTAATGAAAATATTATAATCATAAGATAGGCCACATATTATTCTTAAGAGAGGCCATGGGAATATGTTCTGCTTTGCATGGGATTTGATAAAAGTCTCTGTTCTTGAACAAGGTCATTTTTAATTAAATAGCTGAACTAACCGAATTGATATGATGTTTGTTTGGGTCTACCCCTCCAGTTCCAAGTCAAAGTCATTGGAGTAGGTGAAGTTGATAACATGGGGGGAAAACATTGAGGTACGAAATCGAGTGCTTTCCAAAACTGCGCAGCTAAACTAGGTGCAATGAATAGCCGATATAATCAAAGTTCAGAAGGACAATAATTAATAATTTTTTAAGCTTGATTTGATTCTTTTAATGATAAAACCATGATATATAACATCAAAAAAAAAAATTAAATTAAATGGTTTGGTGTTTCCAGCTCATTGTTGGTGGATTGTGACTATGTGAATTGGGTTAGCATGTTAAAGAATTTAAAGGCAAAAAAAGAAAAAAAAGAGTTTCATTATAAAATGTAAATATAAAGAGCGCATTGTTTTATTAGAATAAGATAAACATGAATGAGAAAATAAAATCATCACCATTAGTTGCTCATTCATACAAGGAAAATACAATTATAACAATTACCAGATTAAGAAATATTGTTTGACACTTTTTTAACCTGCATTTTATCAAGAATTTCAACGTACTCAATCAAGAACTCTATCCGGCATCTGTCTTGTAATATAACAGCTATAAATAAACCCCCCAAAAAAAATTGATGGGATATAAAATTAATTATATTTAAGATTTTTGCATTCTGATCGTCCTGCTCCTCGAGGCATTTTCTTAGTAGCAGCATCTTCAACAGCCTTAAGCTCGCAATAGTGAGCGGCTATCTCCACCAACCACTCTGGCTTCAGTTCTGTGACCTGTCTCATGTACTCCTTAGTAGTAAGAACCAGTTCATGATACACAACCCATCTTGGAAGCACCTGAGACAGTCCAGAACTAGGATGCATCTGAACAGTCTGTGGATGTTTTATAGTCCGATAAGATCCGTTCTTTTGCGGCCTCGCAGACTGTTTGAAGAAACCAGACATTATAGATTTTTTCATGGCATCCAGATCACCTTCACTTGAAGTTAGTTCAATTTCAACCTTGTCCAGAAGACCTGCAAGTTGATCTCTGATATCTCTAGCCCGTTTCATACTCCTTACCTGTATGTAATTTTCGTAACACCATCGAGTCGAGAAATCGGTCTCCTTCCATGAATAGTACACCTTTAGCAATGCAATATGATCTCCAACATTTCCAGTGTGGAAATTCATTCGTGCATTATCTGCGTGCACTTGTTTATCCTTGGGACGGTAAAATACTGAGTTCCCAATAGAGAGCATGGCAGCAATAGAAATGATATCCTCTGAACACTTGTACTCATCTGAAGCCACTATCATTTTAGATAACATGGGATTTAGGGGAAACTCTGCCATCTGTCTGCCTATCTCTGTTACCTCACCAAGACGATTTAATGCACTTAATGCAAATAGAAGATCCAGTGCTTTCTCTAAAGCCTCAGCAAGCGGAGGATCCATGAAATCAAAGTGCTGTAAGTCATGAATCCCAAGACTTTTCAAGGTCAAAACTACATTTGCAAGATTAGTCCGTTGTATTTCTGGCAAAGCGTTGTCATCCAAATCATGGTAATAAGTGGATGCAGTGTACAACCGGAAGCACTTTCCAGGACCTGTTCTTCCGGAGTGACCAACTCCTTGATTTGCTGAGGCTTTTGAAAATTGGCGTTACTAACAAGGATTCCATTCCTTTTCTTGGATTATAACTGTTCATCTTACAGAACCCTGGATCAATAACGTACCTGATTCCATCAATTGTCAATGATGTTTCTGCGATATTAGTAGCCAGGACTACCTTCCTAGCTCCTTCAGGGGTGGGTTCAAATATCTTAGCTTGTAGCTCAGCTGGTAGATTTGCATATATAGGACAGATGATTAGCTCAGCAATTTTAGTCCCCAGACCCCTAGTTCGATGCTTCATGATCTCTTCTGCGGTTTCAGTTTCTTCTTGACCAGTTAAGAACACCAATATATCTCCGGGAGGTTGAGTTGCATGGATTTGGAGAGCAGTTACAATAGCAGCATCTAAATAGTCAGCTTCTGGCGCCTTGGTGTAGTGTATTTCAACAGGATATCGTCTCCCAGGAATTGCGAATTTGGGAGCAAAATCAAAATAATCACTGAACTTCTCTGCATCTAGTGTGGCACTTTAGATCAGCAGCTTAAGATCAGGCCGAGAACGAGCAATATCCTTCACTAGTCCAAACAAAATATCAGTTGAAAGCGTTCTTTCATTAGCCTCATCCACCATCACAACAGTGTAGCTGCTTAGACGAGGTTCACTAAGAAATTCTCTCAGTAGCATCCCATCTGTCATGTATTTCAGAATAGTCTTCTCAGAGGTGCAGTCCTCGAAACGAATGGAGTAACCAACCTCATGACCTAATTTCACACCCATTTCCTCGGAGACTTGAGCAACAATACTCATAGCAGCAACACGTCGTGGCTGAGTACATGCAATCTTCCCATGCTTTGTGTGCCCAGCTTCATGAAGATACTGGGGTATCTGGGCAGTCTTTCCAGAACCAGTTTCGCCAACGATGACAAGTATCTGGTGTTCATGAACACTTTGGATCAATTCATCCCGAAATGCATAGATGGGTAATGTTTTCCTCTCTTCCTGGAGTGCATCCGAAGCTGTCTTGGCCTCGGACTTTTCAAGTGAATATTTCATTATCTCCTCATTATCGAACTCATCTGACGCTTTGATAACATCTATCTGGTCCTCAAACATAAACTGATAGTCATCAGATACTTGTTTTTTATTTTTATGAGAACCAAACCTCAACGCTGCCTTCCCAATTTGATTCTCTTCCCAGGCTTCTTTTTCAGAAAGTGGGTTCATTTTCTCCTCAGCATTTGGATCCCGGTAGAGTTGCAGAGCCGCGGCAAATCTCTTTTCCTGACTAACGACCCCTTCCTGATCATAAGCTTCTGGCATCCTGTACTCATTCAAACCTTCTTCATCCACCGACCGCTTCTTTATAAGATCGTATATATCTTTCTTGCACCTGAACTCACGGTTTTCTTCTTCTGTAAGCTTCACTCCTTTAAATAGATATTGCTCATCTTCTATATCATCTCTCAGTTCATCTAATTTCTTTTGCTCCCTTTTCTTCAAATATTCTTGCCTTGAAGCCTTTCTTAGAATTTTAATATCATTCTTCTCCGCAGGACTGCGGCTTCTCTTTCTTCTTTTTGAGGAGGATTGACCGGTAGAGCTATAAGTATTTTGGTTTCTGTTCATCATTGTACTCTGGTTTCTCTCTTTTCCTGCAAGAATGGAGGAACACGAGCAGCAACGGCGGCTGAGTTAATGATCTAGGGTTCGGAAAGGATGAGACTCGGCGGCTATGAATAGATGATGAGTTGGGAAAAGGGGAGAACCGCGAAGGTGAGGCGTTGGAGATGGGTTGATGACGGAGGAGAAAAGCACGACGGCGCTGGATGATTTAACGACGGAGGAGGAGGGCGAGCTTCCGCGGTGAGGTTCTTTGAGCACCGGCATACAAGAGTGGGCTTGAGGCTTTGATCACGATGGTGCAACTTTGACCGAGGGATCAGGGGGACGGGGGAGGCAAAATACAGGGTAACTCTAGGGGAGTGATTGTTACTGTTATCAGACTTATTATTTGGGTTGAACAGCAAACAGCACTCTGAACTTTTATTTAAAAATCGTTTACGATCCTAATTTTTTAAAATATATAAAATAAATTTTAAATTTTTAAATTTATAATAAAAAAAATTTGATATTTAACTTTTTAACACCATCATTATACACGTAAGCATTGTTTAGAGTTTATTATTTTTACAAATTTAACTTTAAATGTTACAGTAACAACATAAACAATAACAATATTAAAAAGTTTAATAATCAAAATTTATTTTATTATAAATCTAATTTATTTTATATATTTTAAGAGTTTAAAATTCATGATAATTTTTAAATAAAAATTTAAAATTTTATTTATTTATTAACTTTTATTATTTTTAATATTTTATTATTATTGTTGTTATTATTAGATTTGTTATCATTTAAAGACGCGATGTAGAATTAATTAAATTATATTTGAGTTTTTTTTATTAAAATGATATTATATTTAAATTAGGATTTGATTTATTTGAATAAATAAAATCTCTTGAACCTTTGGGTTATCTTTTAATTATTCTATAATATTGTATTAAAAAAATATATTATTTTATGTTTTGATACAACAACAAAAATTAATTACTATTTAGTTATTTTAAGATTTTAAGATGTTTATATATATATTTTTGTATTTTTATGATATTTTCTCTCAATTACAACATTAAATTATTTTTTTATATTCATAACATCAGATTATTTTTAAAATCAAGGTAACTTTTTAAAATAATAAAAAACTATTTTTTAAATCGTTTTAAAAATTAAGACAAATACTATAAACTTTTATAAAAACTTAAACAAACGCACCCATGGCACAAACTCTAGTAGTAATCCATGCCAAGCATTTTGGGTAATTTTGAATACAAGGATTAGAGTACAAGGACGAGTTAGATTTTTATTTTTTTAAAAAATCTGTTTTAACGAGAATATCAAGGGTTTTGAATTTAAATATTTTTAAAATTATTATTATTTTTTTTGAAAGTATAAAATATAAAATATTTTATAACTGCTTTCATGTTTTATTTTTAAATTCACTGCTATTGTAAATTATCTTTATTTATGACAACTATTTATTATCATACATTGTGATCACCACCATGAACATTTTTTAAATCTAAAATTATTTTCAAGTTAATATAATTAAATAATCATTTTATTTTACTTTGTTTTGAAAAATAATTTTATAAAATTAATTTACAAAATATTTTTTAAAATAAAAATAAGATAAAACCAAACAAGCCTAAATTAATATAGACCAATGTTTTTAAAATCAGACCGGATATTGAATCAAAAATTCTAGTGGCTCATGATTATCAGTCTAATCAGATTGGATCAATAGTCAAACTGATGACGTGATAATTAAATTAAAAAATTATATATGTATATAATAGTCTAAACATAAGAAATAAATATAAAATTACTATTTAACTTAAAAAATAAAATATTTTAAATTTATCATGATTTAACAAGTTATATAATACAATATACATCAAATGATTAAAAAAATTGATTATTTTTAAAAAAATATAAAAAAGGAAAATAGTATTTTTTTTAATAATATGGTTTTTAAAAATTGAACTCGATTCCCGACTTGATTCTAATTCTCTATCCAAACATTGATCCGAAGTAGCCTAATTTGACTCAACTCTCCAAACAATTTTTTTAACTTGATCGAGCCGTAAGCTTGACAGGTGCACACTTGACTGGTTTGATTGCTCATTTCAGCTTTATTTTTAATCATTGATACAGACAGTGAAAATCATGTGCGAATGATCCTTTATTTTAAGGTTGTAGAATTGGATTTTTCTGTACAGTTCGATTTATTGTGAGGCTCCGATTTTTCCAGGGATGTGATTGGGAGAGAATTTTTTTTTTAAAGAACGGAGAGATAAATAAATATTTGCATTCTCTGAGCATTTAAGGAGTGTCTAAATTATAATAATTAGACTTTTATTATAATTTAAAAACTGTCAAGATATATTTTCATTTTGAAATTTAAAACAATCCCCATAATTAAAATATTTTTCTCACGTGTTATCTTTTTTAATAATTTGAGATCTTATATCGTCTGATACATGACAAAGTCTTCTACAATAATTCAATTAAAATAATTGTTATAATATCATATAAGACACCAATTGAATTAGTGAATTTAAATTATTTACTGAATCCAAATCCAATAAATAATTGATGATAATTTATAATTACTTGATCCCAATTTGATTTTTTTTTTCTTTTTTGGTTTTTGACAAAGTCCATAATTGATTTTGATTGCGATCGAACCGATTAAAGTAGTTCACCAGTTGTTTCTTGGACCGCAATTTTAGTCATTGACTTCGAATGAATTGCGGGGAATTTTTCATAGAATGACTTGTTTATCACTCATTCATTATCTATTTTAAAAATCGCATTGATTTTCTACAATCTATTATTATAGTGACTATATTATTTATTATTTGAGTAATTTTGCGACAAATTAATAGTTTGTTGGCAATCATGATAGTGTATAATTTCTTCTGACTTGGCTGGTAGTTAGAATATCGATATACAAATTATGTCAACATTAAAAATAAACAATTTTAAGAAAAAAGTTAAAATTTCTTGAAATGAAATATTTTAAAATACTTTTAAAACAGTTGATTGGATTTAGATAATTTCTAAGTATTGATTCATTGATTGCACTTGGACAAAAGTAGTAGCTGGTCAAAAAACGAGGGCAAAATAGTTGTATTTTTTATGCAATTGTGTTTGAATTTCCACAACTCCACATGAGAACTCAAACAAAAAGATAACGCAGAAGTAATCGATGGCAAAGTAAGCATTCTAAAGTCAGGGATCTGATGACTTAAAAATTCATTCTATGATCAATTTCCAAACAGACTCCTCAAGGAACCAACATGGAAATTAAATTTGTTTTAACTAAACCATTTTTCAATCTAAATTGTTTTTCAAGTCGCCACATAACATATACTTGGAAATTCTTTGTCTTTTTTAAATCTTGTTTTTATTTAAACCAAATGAATTTCTAAGTCGGTTCCTTGGAAATTCATTTTATTTTAAAAAAGTATGGTTTTTTTTAAACAATCTTGAATTAAATGAATTAACTTGGAAATTTTCTATATTAAAAAGTCTGTTTTTTTTAATCTAAATATAATCGTGACTGACTTGGAAAACTTATTTATCAAACTGCCATTTTAAACATTTAAATGAAGATTTGAACGTTAATTTCGTGTTTTTTTCCTACAACTTTTCCCCTTTTGTTTACATATCTATTTAACAACAACAAATTCTGTAGGCAGAACAACACGCAACAATTTGTTTTATTTCCATATATTTTAATTTTAGTCACTTGTGTGTAGTTAAATTTTTTGGGATCCCTACAAATACCAAATCTTTAGCCGGCGAGGATGGCGAAATTCAATCTGATAAAAAGCTGATTCAGTTATTCAATGACAATCTCACGGAATTAAAAACCTATATATTTTTGTGGAATCATGAATCCTTCCGCGTTAAAATATATTAATTTTAAAAATTAAATATAATAAAATCAAAATCAAAATCTTTATAAAAATCATAGTCACAATGCAATGTAAATAATTAATCATTAATTCAGAATAGTTTTACTTGTTCAGCAGCAATTAAAATAGGGAGAATTTCAGTTAAATATCATGGAAGAAACTTATTATATGGGTCCAAAAATATTTTTAAATTTTATTTCAATTCAAGGGAGAAAAGTCAAAAAAAATTTGACAGTAAAATGATGAAAATGCTTTTCACCTGTCATGCAAAATCACTAATCATTAATTTTCTTACTTCACAAGTAAAATTATAAATATAAGTTGCAAATTATATGAATTGACATGTCAATAATTATATAAGACTTGACAGTAATTTTTCAATCATAAGCAATAATATCAATTGTTAAATTACCAATATCAATTATAAATTACTGATAGGTTTTATAATTTATTAATGTCAATTATAAATTACTGACAGGTCTTATAATTTATAACTAACATTAATTAATTAATAAATAAAGTTAATAAATTAATAATTAATGTTATTAATTTTCATGTAATTTATAAATGATATTAGTAAATTAATAAATACAGTAAAAAAATAATAACTAATGATTTTATATAATACATTCAGGATATTTTAATTTTTTTACTGTTAGAATTTTTTTTACTTTCCTTTCTCAACTGAATTGAAATCTTAAAATATCTTTAAACGCATCTCAAATTAAGTCTCTTCTCATCCTTGACTCAAGTTCTCCCGTTAAAATATCCCAACAAACAAACCAAGAGTTGTTTGACCTCTCATAAAGGGGGGCATCGCTATAAAAACCAGCAGTCATCGCACGTCGCAGAAAACGAATATCAATTCTCTGCGCACGCGACATTGAATTGTGGATCCCGATCAATCCTGATAAAGGCCCTTCATTTTATCAAGACAATCCAAATCGAAGCCATGTACCGAGTAGCGAAGGCATCGCAGTACCTGGGTATCACTGGGGTTGGCATTAAAGACATAAAGATCGCAAAGAATTCATGGGTTTTCCCGGGGCAATCATGCACCATCCTGGATGTTTCTCCAGTGAACTACACCTTCGAAGTTCAGGCGATGAGTGCCGAGAAGCTCCCTTTTCTGCTCCCCGCCGTCTTCACCATCGGCCCCAAGGCCGACGACCCAGAATGCCTCCTCAAATACGCCAGGCTCCTCTCTGCCCACGACCAGCTCTCCAACCATGTCAAGGATCTCGTCCAGGGTGTCATCGAGGGAGAAACCCGCGTTCTCGCCGCTTCCATGACCATGGAAGAGATTTTCAGAGGCACTAAAGAGTTCAAGAAGGAAGTGTTCGAGAAAGTTCAGCTTGAGCTCAACCAGTTCGGTCTCTTGATTTACAATGCCAATGTGAAGCAACTGGTGGACGTGCGTGGCCACGAGTACTTCTCTTATCTTGGGCAGAAGACGCAGATGGAAGCTGCCAACCAGGCGAGGGTGGATGTTGCGGAGGCGAAGATGAAGGGAGAGATCGGAGCTAAGCTGAGGGAAGGACAGACGCTCCAGAATGCGGCCAAGATTGATGCGGAGACGAAGGTCATATCGACTCGGAGGAAGGGAGAGGGAGAGAAGGAGGAAATAAAGGTGAAGGCTGAAGTTAAGATTTTTGAGAACGAAAGGGAGGCCGAGGTAGCTGAGGCCAATGCGGAGCTTGCCACGAAGAGAGCTTCATGGTCTAAGGCTGCCCAGGTGGCCGAGGTGGAGGCGACCAAGGCCGTGGCTCTTAGGGAAGCCGAGTTGCAGAAGGAGGTCGAGACCATGAACGCCTTGACGAGAACTGAGAAGCTTAAAGCCGAGTTCCTCTCCAAAGCAAGCGTTGAGTACGAAACTAAGGTCAGTTTATTTTATTCTTAATCTATTGCTAGCTCAAGCAACTAGATTAGTCCTTGGAAAACCATCAAGACCAGAGACGTATCCACCTTTATGATAGAGGGGGCAATTGCCCCACGAGCCCAAGAAAATATTACTTAAAATAATCTTAAATAATTTTAGTTGTCCTTCTTAAAAATTTCAACTGCCTCCCTCACTTCAAAAAAATTCACTCATACTCCTATAAAAATTTACTTATCCCATTATTTAAAATTCTATATATGTGTATTTTATAAACCTAAATAGCAATAGCTTTAAAATAGAAAAGCAAAAATTTAGAAGAAAAAAAATTGCTCACAAAAAATTTTATCAAAAAAAAAATTCTCTACCTTACAAAAGAGATACATCAATTTTATTTAATGAAAATTAAAATCATGATTCTAATAGATATAAAAATATATTTGCATAAAGAGAGTATTTTATGTTATTTTAATGTTATATTTTAAGCATTTTTTAATATTTAATTTTATTAACTTATACCATTGATAAAATTTAATAGATATTTAAAATTATTTATTTTAAAAAAATATTAATATTTATTTTAAGTATAAATTATGCCTCTATTGATTATTTTTTTTGGATCCGTCACTGATCAAGACTCGAGACTTTTAAGTCTAGGAGAGATATGTATGTGTTCATTTGTTTATGTCTAATGACAGGCCTTCAAGATGCTAACTGGCTCAATTTAGAATGTGGCGTTGGAATTGGATATTTATTTGATAGCAGTGTGTATTTGTGTTTCAATTGACATTATTCAATTGGGTGTGTCTATATATATACATACTCTTTTAAACCATTGCAATTGAGATTTGAGACATCATGTGAACGTGTGAACGCGGAATAGGTACAAGAAGCGAACTGGGAATTGTACAAGAAACAAAAAGCCGCAGAAGCTATCCTCTTCCAGAAAGAGAAAGAAGCAGAAGCACAGAAAGCGTTGGCAGAGGCGGCCCAGTTCGCTCGAAAACAAGAAGCAGATGCAGAGCTATACGCCAAGATAAAGGAGGCAGAGGGAATTGTTGCCCTCGGGCAAGCCCAAGGGACCTATCTGCGAACTCTTCTTGATTCACTGGGAGGCAGTTACGCGGCTCTGAGGGACTACTTGATGATAAACGGTGGCATGTTTCAAGAGATGGCCAGGATCAATGGCGAGGCAGTTCGTGGGCTTCAGCCCAAGATTAGTGTTTGGACCAATGGGGCCACAACAGAAGGCGACCACGGCGGCGACGGCGTCACGGCCATGAAGGAGATTGCTGCCGTGTACAAGATGTTGCCTCCTCTATTTAGCACAGTGCAAGAGCAAACTGGAATGCAGCCACCAGCCTGGATGGGCTCATTGGCCAACAAAGCTTCTTAAGATGCTTTTGTGTCTTTCTCTTTGTTTTTTGGACATCGCTTTCAATTCATTTTCGTTGTCAATGGAATTTGTTTACTCATCGAATCATTTACACCTACGTTACGTACATTATTGGATGTCTTTGATTTGGTACGGTCTTCATTCTTTTGTCACTTTTTGCAATGGACAATGAAACTTCAGTTTCAGAATTCAGTCCTTAAATAAGCCGTGTATTTAGTTATGAAATGCAGAATTCGGTCCCCAAGAGTCAGATGACTTTGTGAAGTACCAACCATTTTGCACACCGAAACCCACACATTCTGTACTGTACACATGATAAACAACTAAATTGAAGCCACGCTTATTTGAACCCGGCGTCTCAGCTAAACCCGGCAATCTCTCTGGGCATCGCAACGAGTATTCCCTGCGTAAAGTTGGCGGACGGCGGAGGCGAATGCTTCAACCTGGAGGTCAATCCCCTGAAGGGAAAGTGCTACTGCTCTATACGGCTATCGTCCTCAAAATTGAGGGCGTAACTGGACGGGTCGTAGCTAAAGTCCGCAGATTGGGTGTGCCGGTGGTGCCTCCACCCAATCGTGGACAAGAGGCACCGACTCCTCCCACGGTGGGGCTCCAGGAAATGGCCGGCGTAGGATTTCTTACGCCAGGAGCAAGAAGACGTGGGAGAGCAGGGCGTCCTCGGGGACTTGGGCCCGTGCAGCGTATAGTAGCCGGAGTCACCGTGGTGAAGGGATTGGGAAGGGGCATGGGGGTCATGGTCGCTGGAGAAACATCGGAAATAAGATTTCAATATATGCCTGAGGCTGGGGGAGGATTCGTTATGCATGATCAAGTAGCTGCAAATGACAGACAAGAGAGGGAATATTAATATATGTATATAGATATACAGGCAATGATGATGTGGGTGAATTTGTTTGAGAGGAGAGAGGGGAAGCCGGGGATGAACGTGGTGAGAGTGGTGGTATATAAATAAAATAAGTCAGAGGAAAGAGGATGTAAAAATAAAGAACTGGTTTTAGCGTTCATCAGCACGGATAGTTAGGTTCTTTTTAATTAAAAATTATTTTTTAAAAAAATTCACAACTAAAATATTTTTTATTTTAAATGTTGTGTCCATTAAAATATTTTAAAAAAATAAAATTGAAAATGTGAGCTATTTAAATTAGATTTGAACGGGTTAAATGATAAGCTTTTAATTTATTTATATGACCACCACTAAAACTAATTCAATGTAAATGCGTGATTTGACGTGGGATGTACCCGAGTAAGTGGGGGAGGGTGCGTGGTCCTGGTTATTTTGTGTCAAACGTGGCTGTCCCCAAATTTAATAATCTAATTTCTGGTTTTATTTACGTCTCTACTCTATTTACTCCATGTATCTCTCCAGATCAATGTCCCTCACAAGGAGAAAATGTCATTTGGACTGGATGTAGATTGATGCGTGTGGTTTTCGTAAACTTACTTATATATTCATGCAGGACCAGATAGTGTACCAACTCGGGTTTCGTCATATTAAACTACTTATCAACGCTGCGTGACATTACTTGGTTCATCGTCTCACTCCCAGTTCAGTATATTTATCAAGCTGATTTCTTTTTTCTCCACTTTTCCTTTCTTACTTCTTTCTTAGCACGGAGCCTTATATTGAACTATTGGATGTCCTTTATGCCCATATATTTTATACACGGATTACGGTTTTTAGGGTAATCTTTGACGAACATATCACGTGCAAGCTCATTTGAACTAACCGATATGGATAATTTGCATTTGATTAGGGAAAGAAGTTAGCTGAGGCTTTATTAATTTTTTTTTTTGGATAAACGGCTTTATTAAATTTTAGTTGTTGCATAAATAATAGATATTTTCTTTAAGAAAATAAAAATTTAGGAAAATAGCGTTATGAATTGGCACTCATTTGATCCCATCAATAATATTATAAACAAAGAGTGAAAAACAATAAGAGAATTCAAAGGCGTGGCTGCAGGATCATCTCAAATTGGGCGGACATAAATGGGAATTCTATGGGAAGTTAACTTGTACCACAACACCTTTCCGGCTCTCTCCCTCCATTTTGAACCTTATACCACACGTTTATTTAACAGAAAGAAATGAATTAAAAAAATAAAGGTGAAAATAAAATGATAAAAATAAGGTGAACATATTCATAAAAAAAAAGAGTAATTTAATTAATAAAGTTGAGAATTACATGAGATTTTTAAAAGGTATAATAATTCTTACATTTTTAATACATATTAATAAATTTTATCATATTTATCATGAGAAAATGGTGATTTAATTCATTTTTATATTAATTTTTTTAATTCATTCTATTCCATTCTTTTTTAATAACTAAACATGACATAACTCTTCAACCCATGCAAGCACATCACGTTATAAATGCTCCACAAAGTTTGGTGGCTCAACAAGGGAAGGTAGAGAAGAGAGGAATTTTTCCAGACGAAAATTTAGACGCTGAAATTCTACTATTTTAATTTTTAACTACATGAACACCTTTATATGGCACAGCCCAAAATTTGAAGACACTTTAGACAACAAAATCACGCTAGTGTGATTCTAAGGAAAAATAGACAGATCATTAGTGTACACCCACAACCCCTCATTAGTCTTTTTCACATACCTCATGCATTTGAATGTGAACATATAATATAAGCCCTCATATTGGTTTCGGTATTGATTTGTTCGCCATGATCCATCAAAGAATTAATAGAACATGTGCACGCCTTCCAAGTTGGCTCCTCCACATTACCTTCCTCTGTTCTTCATCTGCATCAAGTACTAATTATCCCTCTTCTTTCACAAGAAGTAAAATGTTCTTCCTACTTGTACTCGTTTACTTGTCACAACACGCCCTGTCATCACCTGCAATATCATTTATTTTCTATGAAGATCTTAGTTGCAAGAACCGGTCTTGTCTTTTTTTGTTTTCGAGGAAATTAGGAATGCCTTTTCCGCTTGCTCTTTGAGACCGTCGAAGTTGAAGCATTGCTGTGCCAATTCCTCTTCCTTTGATTGATGAACCAATTATTAATCTGCTTTAATTGCAAACCAGTTTCCTGTACCAACTTTGCTTTATCTTCCTCCTGAAAATCACATACTTATATTGACAATTTGTGATGAGCAAGATATCAAGCAAGAAAAAATATTGACTCCACAATAGTATCGCTTAAACTCGAGAAATGGTTTGCCCCAAAAAGAAAATGGAGCAATGCGAAAATTCAGAGTTGCGATTAGCGGAACTAACAGTAGGGTAAGGCCACTTGGAATGGGCTTGCCACCAAGCTTTAAGGACAGAGGTGGTATCACCAGGAAGTTTCCCAGCTCGTCGCTTGCGCAAAATTTCTTCTCTTATGTCCACAATTTTATCCTTATAGCCCTACACTCAAGAAAACTGATGAACAAGGGAATGCATCTAAAAAGCAGTGGGAAGAAAGGTTATATCATCGTTCCATATCTGTTACCTGTTTCAGTTCATGTCTCAACTCTTGCCTAACTCGCTCCATGAGGGATCTCTCATTCTCTGTTGGAACAAGAGGGCCAAATCCCATGCTGTCTGAACCATCCAAAGTACCATCAAATAGATTGCCATCACTAGTTATTTGGTCGTCTTCATCATCCGACATGGTAGCCCCTGTACCTTCTCCAGGTGAAACTCCTGTTGGGTAAAAATTATAGCTTTATCACTCAGCAACTTAAAAAGAAGGGCTGAGATTTTGCAGCCTAACTTTTGCACATGAAATTAGGTAACCAGACAAGGCATTCGGTTCGGTTTGACATATGTAAATTTTAAATCCTTAGGCATTTGGAAACCTATGTATAACTATAAGATGTTAAGATATAAGGAGCCACAAAATCAAAATTTGTGTTATGCACATCTAAATAATGTAGAGGTTCAGATATACAAATAGACTGCCATGTTCTTGTAGCAACTCAGAAATAATCTTCTTTCTATATATCAGAGGCAATCTAACTTGGGAGACAATAAAGACAACATGTGGAAAGCTGATTAGAAAATAATATTGGAAGTTGCTTCAGGTTATTTTCATTCTAAGATGCAACGATCATTAAAAGTAATTACTCTTTGCACCTGTTAGACTTTGTAAGGATTGTTCTATCTCCCAACATGCCATAACTGCTTCCATTGCATGAACCCGGACATGTTGTTGGAGCTGTTCTTTGAAGGAACAGAGCAACAGAACATAATGTGACTGAAACATGAAATAAAAACAGATCAAAACTGAACTATATCATAGTAAATACAAACATCAATAGCTAGAATCACGCGCATGCACGAACCAAAGAATAGAATTCCATAATACAACCCAGAAGCACGCACGCAGGTTATATGTGCTAAACCAAACATTGTTCATCGCAGTAAGAAGAATTTTATATTCCTAATTATGTGCTTCACTAGGACTTCTCGGGTGAAGATCGTAGGATGAATCATGAAAGGCTTAAATAGAAAGAAACTATTGCCAAATGAATTATGACTGAATAATAACTAACGATGGGGTTAAAAGAAGAAACTTTAACGGAAAGTGAATTAAAAAGGCAATGGCCATTTTAACATCTATTGTGCCACAAGACATGATCGATATACAGCCCGGAACAGTAGCGAAAAGATTTACCGTGACAAATAAAACCTCAACTGTCTAATTCAGCTTGAACATGGTTTGAAAAGCATCTCTACACGTCAATTTCTCATTGTTCGCTTCCAATTCACATTTTTCAGTTGTTTGTCCAGGATTTTATTATTCAGAGTTGATTTCTTCTCATATATTCCATCCTAAAGAATACTGTTTCACATTCCATCTCCTAGCCAAACAATATTGAAGGCATGCTCTACTATCTCCCTTTCGTTCTTTCGTGGCTCCTCTGTTTCTTTTTCCAGCAACCTCTTTATCAGCCAATCAGTTATATAATTAACTCATTTCAATGGGAAAAGGAATTGGATTGAAAGGCCCTAACAGCAAATAGAAGTAAGATTTGATAGAGTCATAGAGAACTTTATAATTCCAGCAATACGACATCCGCAAAGCCAGTTAATTATCCTTTGGCTCCAATTTATATCTCACAAAATTTTCCTTAAACAAATTCGAATTCTTATCGAACTAAAATGACAGAGAATTTTGGAAGATACCATGAACTGATCGAGTCCCTTCTCATCCCCAGTCATGCTATGTGCTCCGTGTCCCAACGCGGAGTACTTGACCACCACATTCTCGGACTGCGCTAGTTGAGCGTCAATCCTCGGCAACTGGTCAACCGGCGTGGCGATCCGCAAACAGGCCACGTGTGCCGACAGCAGCTGTTCGTACAGCGGATGCGCTAGAATCTCCGCCTTGGACCTCGCATTCTCCCAGTTCACCAGCCTCTCCTCGCCGTCCTCCGCAACCACCTCGCTCTTCGCATTGGGGTTGTCGCCCGCGGTCATGTCCAAATCGGCGGACTCGTGGGACAAGGCAGCACCGTCGATGAGTGAGTTGCCGGCAGCGATGTCGGCAATGACGTGGGCGTTGTTAGGGCGGAGGATCGGGCGGTGGGAAGCAGCTCCGGGAGAGTCAGAAGGGGCAGCAGCGTGGAGGTGGAGGAAATTGTTGGCGTCTATATTGTTGGGAACGTCGGAGGTACGGTTGTTGGAGTGAGAGTGGAGGGAATAGTTGGAATGGAGGAGGGCGTGGGTGAGGCAATTGGGTTGATCGGAGTCGGAGAAATGGTGGGGCGGTAGGTGTTGTTGATTATGGGAGGCCATTCAAGGGGAAGTCAGAGGAAGCAACGTTGGACGCCGTGAGAAACTCCACGTTTGCTCGCTATGGCTTCATATGGCGAGAGGAGCATCGGGAAAAAGAAGCGCGCGGAGAGGGGAGGGCGAGAGGGGGGATGTATGTGCGGAGGTACCTGACTCTGGTGCAGCAGTTGAAGGATAAGAAGATACTAAATGACATGAAATCATCACTTGTGAATTTGCTCTGTTCTCTCCGCACATGTATTTCTATACTGCGAAAAATAAACCAAAGAATTTCATTTTTATATTTTTTACAATTAACTTCTCTTGCATTGAAATTTTCTTGTGAAATTAATTAGTTTGAACTTATTCTGTCTTTTTTATATTTTCAAGAAACTCTTCACTTTCGCATTCACAACAGAAGGAATTACTCGCTAGTAACATCTAATGTGTTTCAATTTCATGAATTCGGGCATCGGGGCTAGCGGTAGGTATATCATTTGTGATCATACTTACAGAGCGAGTTTTATGTTTTTCTACACCGCACCCTGTTATTGCTAACAACTAACAAGGGTTTAAGAGTTAGTTCTTGTTTGAGTAATATTTGAAATCAATTTTAGTGGCCAAAATAATAATTTTATAAAAATATGTGTAAAAACTCATATTATATGTTAAAATTAATTATGAACACGATATTATATTTTTTGAAAAATATCTGAACACCCATAAAACATATTAAAATTTATGAACTTAAAATTATGATTTTTTTAAAAAAATATTCAAACATTTCTTGTTGTGTCAGAATCAATTATGAACATGGTTGTGGCAATCCAATCATGTTGTGAAAAATTTGCACGAGGGTTTTGATCATTTAGTAACAGTGAGAGGCTTTGAAATCAACTGATGAAGTGAAGAGGATTGACAAAACATAAAGCAGTCGGTTTTGCTAATTCATCGTCCCCGAAATTAGTTTGAAAGCTTTTTTTCCCCTATTATAAAGCCAATTTAAAGTAATTAATATTTTTTTTAATTTAACCCTTGTTTATTCACTGCTATTTAAATTTAAGAAAGATAAAATTAAAAAGTTGCATATCTTCTTCACACGTTTAATGTTATAACAATTTTTTTAATAAATGTAAAATTAATTAATTTCGCTGATTACATCCATATATAAATCAAATTAAAAGGTTATACTTTTTAAGATAGATTTAGTATTGAAGTGCCACTTGTTCTAAGTAGTTGTCTTGTTTGCATGTGCTATTCTTGTTATGAAACTATCAAAATACAAGAGATATAAGATGAGTTCTTTCGTATATGCGTCTGAAATGTACCGTACACAGTCTATATTTTTGGACCCAATTCTATCCAAGAGTTACAATGTCTTAAATAATAACTAGATAATTTTTCATTGCACAAGTTAGAATTAAAAAATTTAAAATAAATATACTTGATACAATTGATATCAACATATCTAATATAGTTAAATTTTTTAAAGTTCTTCTATTGATCTATGAGCATGATCGTGCGTTGCATGAGTGTGCACATAAATATGATTGGCATGCTCATGACATCACAGCTTTTTTCTATATGTGGAAACCTGTTTTGAATTGAAATGCTTTCTCTTATAATACCCAATCGCAAATGAATCCACCATTAACGTTCCTATCAAAGACACCATGGCAATGGACCCAGTAAAATGAAACTTATGTAAAGGGTTGCCATTCAAGCACGGCGAAATCAAGGTCTCAGATTATTCGAGAAGTAAGTGGATAAATCCAACGGCTGGAAAGAGGCACAAAACTCCTCCACCACAACTACCTAACTCTCCATCATCAACAACAAATTCACTTAGAAGAATGGCTGATCAATCATCAATTAAGGTATATGAGATTGAAAGATGCAAAGATATTCCTATATTGAGAACAAAAACTCTCTAACGAGACTCAAGGACATTGAAAGCAACATAGTTAATACTCTCATGATAGATGACTCGTGAAAAATGTTAAATAAAATTTAATGCTTCTATCTCATGAAAAGATAAAAGTTAATTAAAATAAATGAAAAATACATTTAATTCCATTAACTAATCAAAAAAATATTCAATCACATAAACCAATAAAATAATAATATTAATATCAAATTAAAATTAAATTGATCGTTTTATGAAAAGATAAAAATTAATTAAAATAAATAAAAATAAATTAAATTTTATCAACCAATCAAAAAATATATTCAATCACATGTAGATTGATCGTTCCATGAAAAAATAAAAATCAATTAAAATAAATAAAAAATATTCAATCACACCAACTAATAAAATAGTAATAGTAATATTAATATTAGGTTGAAATTAAATTGATCATACTTTAAAAAGATAAAAAATAAATTTAAACAATTAAATAAATTAAATTAAATTTTTTCAATCAATAAAAAAAATAATTCAATTACATTAATCAATGAAATAAATATTAATATTAAATTAAAAGTACACCGATTATATAAAAAGTAATTGACTAATGAAAGAGGATAATTAATATTATATTAAAGTATATTGATCAATGAAAGAGAAAATCTGTGTCCAATCACCCATATATATCGATGATGATGATTGATGATATTAATTCCATAAAATTTATAAATATATATTGATATTGATGATTGATTGATGATATCAAGTGACATTAATATAAAATATATAACGCTCGTGATAGTGAGAGAGAGAGAGGGGGGGGGGGAAGGAGAGAGGGAGAGACACCTAGAGCCTTTCATTAAGAAAGTCATGGGGCGTGGAACATCAAGCATGATAGATCAGGAGTTGCGGAGTTCATGAACATCTGCAGTCTACATGATCTGATATTTATAATACAAATCATTTTTAACAACTGTATCATTACAAAAAAAAAAAGTTAAATTATTGAAAGCAGACGCACTGATTAAATTGGAGAGCGATGACGATATAAAGAAAGGAGGAGCAAAAAAAGCAGTGCTGTAATTATGGAAGAACATTCACCGTTCACGGGCGAATGGCGATAGATTGGGCGCAAGAGATGAAGTCTAATCAAACGCCAAAGTGTCTCCATTTCTTTTATGTCTTTTACGCTTTTGCACTTTGCTATTTGCAAATGCGCTGCTTCTTAATCTTTTTCTTTTTTTACAATAAAAAAAAAAGGCTCTTGGAAAATTATTTATAAACATTTTTTAAAGTATTTTTTTATCACCGCGAGACTGCATTTAAATATTGTTTAGAACTTTACATTTTAAATAATCGACTTCATTTTTACTTAAAATATTTTAACAATATTTGAATATCATCAAAATAAGAATACCTTTTTAAAAAAATTATTTCCCCTGATAAAAAATATAATTTTTTAATTTTTTAAAGTGTAATCAATATGTTTTTTTAAAGTACCAATGATAAATAAACTATCTTATATTTATTTTAAAGTAAAATATTATATTAAATTAAGATAAATATAAAAAAATAGTATTAGTTTCTAGACAACTAACTACTTTATTTAAATTAAATTTAATTAAAAATATTTATATTTTTTAATAGAATGAGTATATCTCATATATAAAAGATATCTAATTTGTAATATTGTATATTAGAAATCATATGATATGAAGTAAAACATCATTTGAAAAACAAATAAATCAAACGGTTAACTTCCCAAGAGTTGAATTAGTTTGCAGGGCTATAAGACACTATAGTTAAATATATAAATATATCAACAAAAAAAAAAAATCACTCACAGACAAGTTATAAGCGGTATGTTTTCTTTCTGTTACTTGTTGATTTTATTGTCACGGTATTTTTTAGTTATTATTCGATGCGATAATATTTTTTTACAAGTTATCTTCTCCGTTCCAAATTAAATATAAAATAATTTTGGAAAAAAATCTAACGTTCAAAATATAAGACATTTAAAAATAATAAAATTTTATTAAACAAAATTATTTTAATATTATCCTTTATCTCTCTATTTAATTTCTGTCCATTTTTCTTTTTAATGTATTAAATGCAGGGTATTTTAAGATTTTATATTTATATTTTTAAAAAAATTAATAAGTATATTTAATAAAATTTATCGGTATATGAGATTTTGTGCAAGAGCGTCTTATAATTTCATATGGATGGAGTAAAATATTCTGGTAGGTTCATATCATGGAATTAAGTATTGCTTCCTATTTGTTTTATACATACTGTTGTTTAAGATTAACGACACATGAATTAAGAAACAATTAATCTAATATTAATACTATGCATTATATTGACTCAAATACGAAAATATCTTCATTTAATCCCATCACTACTCGGGACTCTCGATCGAGAAGAAAGAATGGACACGATTAGTGAAAGAGAAAGATGATACAAATGGAGTGAAGACTTGCCGATTGAAAAATATAACTTTTGAATGAGAGTATGGTGAAAACATAAATCAACTAAGCATTATATTATATTGGAGTTCTAAAACAACAATAATTTTGACAAAAACAAAAACAAAAAATTTAAACCTTCAACAGTTATGAAAAAGAGAAAATAGTAGTTAGTTTATGAAAGGAATTGAAAGAGCACATATATAGCATTTAACTGTGATCTTGGGATGGTGAAAAAATTTTCTGAAGTGAAGAAGTCAAAACTGACGGTCAAAATCTTTTGACCTTTGTAGCTTAACCACTGTCCCTACGTTGGATATTCCACACACAAGACCATAAATTCACGTTGTGTCGTCATTTAGCTGCTAATCTCCTCCTAATCAACGCAAAAACAAAACGGATAGTGCATTTGTTTCAATCCCATTAAAAACTCACCTCACAAATAATAATTTTTTCAATAAACAAAAGTTTGATTGAGTTTAGTTACAAAGTCACTCGAAGCCAAAATTATTAAACTCACGTGTTTAAGTAAGCTCGTGATGGAAATGTGAACTCGGATTACAAACTTGAATCGTAAACTTATAAGAATTTACCTCTATTAATAAATAGCTATTAAAAATTTATTATTAAATAATTAAAATATAAAATATGACCACAATTTGATTTAAACATATTTAAAATATAAATAATTAAAATTAAGTATATCTACATTGATAAATTATTATACAAAACATAGAAATTTTAAAACAAGAAAACTTATTTTTGATATTTTTTGTTTTTTTATTAATATTAGTTTTTTTTTCCTTTTTAAGTTTTTTTCTTTAAACTAGGTTGTATAATTTTTTATGAACTGAATTCTT